GGATCTGCTCTGTGGGTCTTTGGACAGGCCCCTTAATGTCTATGAGCCATACTGCCTTGATCCATCAGTGGGTATAGTAATATCTGCCTGTCTTTCCAGTAGGATTGTTGGGGGCAGAGTGAATTAATAGGTATGAAAGTGTTTTCAAGAGGGGACAAAAATGTAAAACAGATACCAGTGGTATTAGCTGAGGCCTCGGACGTTGACATCTGGGGTTACCTTTGGAGTGACAGCAACCTAAAAGACCAATGGCTTCACACTTTTTTTGTTCAATACCTCCCAAAAGAATTTTGAGAAACTATTCTCTTCCACATTTTTGAATTGACATCTAACATTTTTATCCAAAGTTTAAGTAATTGCAAAGGATATAATGTCCCAGTAGCATGTAAAAAATGTGACATTTTGGAAATAAAACTGAACCACTGTTTTAAATGTGTCCAAGATAATCCCAACCCCACTGCTATTTGGTATCTGCCATCATCCATTGAAGAAACATATGAACAGGCCTGTCTTTAACCGTCAGAAATTCTTTTCTTTTTTTTTCTTTTTAGAAATTTTTTTTTATTGTTAGTTTCAGGTGTACAGAACAATGCAATAGTTATCCTTTTCACTCTCACAAAGTAACAACCACCCTCTCCCCATCTATTGCCCTCCCCCTCCCGATATCATGCTTATCTATTACAATTCCATTGACTCCATTCCCAACAGTCAGAAATTCTACATCTTTCTTTTTTTCTCGTTGAACTCATATTTCCAGTCCACTTCCCTCAGAGGATTTTATCCTAATGTAATATATTTTTTATGCTTGAGAGTCTTTTATTGATCACTGTTCACACTCATCTCCCACAACAAGATGTATGTAAATTGAAATAGAAATGTCTAAAAAAAATTGTTGGGATCATAAAGCTCTACATTTTAAAACCTTTTTTTTCCCAGATCGAGTTATTACAATATTAGCATACAACTTTCCAAAAACAAATTTAGAGAAATAGTAAATGTACAAGTAAAAAATGATCAAAAAAATCACCTTTTAATGAAATAGATGGGGCTTTGTTTCTTTTTCAGTTGGCTCATGTTTCTGTGAATTAATGTTTCTTATATGTTGAGTGAGACAAGATCTAGCATTAATTTAATTCCTGTTTTTCAGTTTCCATAAGTGTAACTGCTTAGAAAGCTGGATCACATCAATAAGGAGCCAGGGAGGGAGGGGCGGAGTTTTCTCTTAACAGCGTTACTCAAGTCTTTGAACTCCAAGTTCCTGCCCAAAATTGCATGGGGGTTTCTCATCAGACATTATTTTTAATGGTCTCTCCACTGACAACTCCATTAGATCTTCGATTTTTTTGAAAGCTGAAGACTTGGAAAACACCCGATTCACAAAAGAAATTGTTCCCAGTCAATAGGTCCACCCACTTTCTGAGTCCGACCATTTCGAATCACGCAGGTGGTCATCCCCCATGGACTGCACTGTGGTGGGATTAGATGGATGAAAGAATTGTCTTGTCTGTAATGTGGGGGAAGGAGGAAAGTGAGAGGAGTGCTGGAAAGGAGAACCGGGTCTCCCTGCCTGCTGCCGTGTTCTCTGCCGTGTTGATTTTAGGAAAAATACATTTGGAAGTCGATGATTGGGCATTGATTATCTTACAACTGCCTGTGCTCACATATCCCTAGAAGATTTCTACTCTGAAGACCCTGCTTCAGAGGATGTTTGGTCTGAGTCCAAGCCCCAGAGAGCCTCAGGAAACCCACTCATGCATGACTTAACCTCCCCAGGGCCCTGGTCCTCCAGTAGGCCTTGGTCCAGCTCCTGTTGCATCCTAAACCCAAGTGGGCTGGGTGCTCCTCAGTGTTTGATCTGTAAACAGCGGCCACTGTGATGCTCTGAGCTAAATACAGGACTGCCCGTTGTAAGGAGCCATCTCTCTGCCCCCCGCCCCTTGCGTGTCTCTTCTCTCCTTCACCTAGTCTGGATTTCCACCTTGTTGCATTTTGTGTATCCTGAAAGCTGTCTGAGCTTATCTGGAGCTAGCTGGGTGCAAATGATAGAGGTGAGGATTGCTACCCACGTTCCTTGTCCTCAGGAGACAGCCTCCTCTGTCTGGGTCTTCGCAGCGTCACCCTTCCATGGCTTGGGGAACTAGACGCACCTGGCCTCACCTGGTTGGTCCAGGTCTCTCAGGGAGGGAATTAAGCCAGGATGTCTGCCAAATGGCTATGGAAAATGCTAGACAGGCACTGTTGATCAGTGCCTGTGGATTCTTGTTGTGTCACTAGTGACAGCAGGATGGCGGAGAGGAGAAGGCTTGCTCTCGTGTGCTGGAGTGCCCTGCCAGCTGTCCCTGGCTCTTCAGAGGGGACTCTGGGAGTTCCTGCAGTGGTATTAGACATGGTATGGGGTTCTGCTGCCCGGCACCATTAGGGGGGAGCCCAACAACTGAAGGGGATTTATGGCTCCCTTGGCATCTGGAGGTGACCTGGCATGGTGGCGGTAGGATGGCTCTGGGGGTCTGATGGCTGGCTTTGAGCCTAATTCCACACAAACTACTGAGTATCCCCAGCCCTGGACCACCTGGACCTTAGAACTTTCAAGCTCATTGTTGGAGTGGGTGTTGAGTTGTCCCAACCACATTAAGACTTCTGGGAAGATGGAGGACAGAAATGAGACCTGGGTGTACTCGGTGAAGGGTAACTTACAGGCAGTATCCCTTCTGGGAGTTCTCTCAGAGGCTGAGTGTGTGGTAGGTACATGTGTTGGCTCTGGATTGAGACAGACCTGGGCAGCCTCCGGCCCAGTGTGTCGCCCCTCCAGTCCTCGCTTCCCTCATCTGAAAATGGGGGGTAATAATTGCTTTCATCTGCTGAACTTGTGCGGATGAACTGAGCTGATGAGTGAGAAGCCCCTGAGTCTGGACTCTACCCCCACCGTGTGAATGGGCCGGTTGCTGCACACCTGGCCAGCTTCTGCTTCCTCACCTGTGAGTGGGGTCGGAGGTCAGGCCTGTGCAGGGACGTTGGAGAGACTCAAATGCAATGAGTTACAGCACCTGGTACTTGGTAGGGAGTCATGGTTACAAAGGACAGAATGTAGTTGGGGAACCCAGCAGAGTCAGCAAGCGTGCCGGGCAGGGAGTCAGGCAGCTGGTACAGGGGCTGTCTGAGCTTCAAGTCCCTGAGAAGGCCCTTTAGCGTCCCAGTGCCCCAAACTGGGGTACATGGAGGCCATGGAGTCGGGTCCTTACTACTCAGTGACAGATGAATTTTTTGAGCCCCTGCTGTGTGCCCATCATGGGGCTAAAGACAGAGAAATACACCACCTGATCTTTGCCCTCCATGTGTTTATGTTCTTCCTGTGAGACAAAACACGTATAAAACCACTGGATAACCGACTACTACATTCCACTCTGGTGTCAGGATGACAGCGTGCCCTTGAGTGACCCACAGTGTTAAGGTGGCGATGCCACCTGTGTGCCAGCCGACTCGCACATTGCATCTCATTAATCCTGACCTCAGTCATGAGACATAGGTAGGAATCATAGTCCTGTTGTACAGGTGAGGAAACTAAGGCACCGACCAGAAAAGGCGTGTGCTTGAGATCAAACAGCTAGGGGGTAGCAGAGCTGCGCTGACAGACTCCAAGCCCAATGCTCTTCTGACTTAATCCAATACCTCGAGTTCACACCTGGTCAGTGGGCCTCTGCCCCTAGGTGAGACCAGAGGCAGTAGGAGTTGGTGATGCCCCGCTCACTAAGCGCCTAGGCTCATGGTAGGAACACTGTTCATGCTTCGTTCCGTCTTCACGCGAGTGCTCCTGCATTATCTGCCTTTTTCCAATGAGGAAACTGAGGCCGGGCCAATAAATGGTAGAGCTGAGACTCCATCTAAACTCGTGGTTCTCATACCTGGTTGCTGGGCATCAGGTACCCTAAGGACCCTTGTGAAAAGGGCAGATTCCTAGGCCTCTAGCCTCAGCTGTTCTCGCACATTAAGTCTTGAGTGGGGCCAGGGCCTCTGTATTTGTGCAAGTTCCCTGGCCATTCCATTAGGAAGCCTGGACCCAGGTGGTGTCAGGCCTATGCAAGGGAGCGGCAAGGCCTCCACTCCTGGGGCCCCTGCCACGCTGGGCCTGTTGGGCTCTGCTTGTCTTCCTACCATGGGCCTTTGCCTCGTGCTCTGTATGGCATGGTGGGCTCTGCCTTGGACCTGTCTGAAATGCCCACTGGGAACTCAGCCATTTCAGTCAACCTGCTCCTGGGAGAAGGGCCCAGCAGAGGGCTGGGGTCGGGTGTTTATATCGTGTTGCTCTGTGCACATCTGAGGGACCAAGACAGCTCCTCAGCAGACAAGGGCATTCTCTCCTTGTTGGGTACATCTATAGTAGGTCTGGGCACTTCCTAGGGGGAGTGTAGGACCACCCTTAAGAGGTAGGTATTTTTAGCCCCTTTTTACAGATGAGCAGACTGAGGCTTAGTGCTGCTGGTAAGTGGCAGCGCAGGGACAAGGACCCAGTGTGTCTGATTTGAAGCCTGTCCTCTTATCCTCTGTCCCATCTTGGCAAGGAGGAAAGGTAGCTAGACATTATTCCCACAAAGTCTAACGTATTTGAGTGATTTCCTCACATGGGTGCAACTTATTCCTTATGTGTAAGAGCACTTTTGCACTCACCTCCTTTTTCCTCAAGGAATAAGGATGAGAGTTACCTAAAGAAGTTACTTTCTCCGTCTTATAGATTTGGACACTGAGGCCCAGAGATGGTAAGTGACTTGCCCAAGGTCACTCAAAGAGTTGAGGCAAACCTGGAACTAGACCCAGACCTCCTGACTTCCAGCTCAGCACTGTTTCTGTTGCCTCTTTGCTTGCCAGGGACAAGACAGCGATTGGAGGACCCCTGTCCCCTCGACGCGGAGTTAGCGGTCCCTGGAGGCATCACCGTGGGTCCTGGGGCCTCGTGGCTATATGCGTTGGGCGCTGGCTGACTGATGTCTTCCTTTCCTGTTTTCCAGGGTCCTATGAGTGTGGAATCTGTGGCAAGAAGTACAAGTATTACAACTGTTTCCAAACCCACGTACGGGCACACCGAGGTGAGTGGTGTGTCCCTAGGGCAGAGTTCAGGGGCTGAGCCTCGCCGTTCTCTGCGTATTTTTCCACCTGCACCCTTCATGGGTGACCCCAAAGGCTCTCAGAGCCCCAGTCTTCTCCCTCTTTCTGCAGTAGGAGGGAGACCCGAGAAGGAGAGGAGAGGCCTCCTTTACTTGGGAAAACACACAGCAGGGGTAGGGGGCAGCAGGACATGCCACCAGGCTTCTGCTCCCAGTGTCCCCTGCCTGCTCTGCACGGGCCTGCTTTCTCCCAGAATGCGACAGTGCTGCTCAGTGGCAGTGGCGCCTGGAGGGAAGGCGTTCATGTGTCATCTCATTTGCCCCCCGTGACAGCCTTGGAGTGGGGGCAGGGCAGCCATCTCCATTCTGCAGATGAGGACGCTGGGCTGAGGCGGCAGGAGAGTTCGCGCCTGAGCCTGGCAGACAGGGAGGAAGGGCACCAGGTCAGGGCCTGACTGACAGCAGGGGCGATGGGGACGGACTGGGAGGCTCGTTCTCGGCATCTTGAGTGGGGCGAGAGTGTCCCTGGGCACGTGGAGCGGGTTCTCCCTGCCACTGCCTGGCCCAGCTTCCTTGTTTTGGCGCCAGCCCTGCCGTTGGTCTGTGTCCTCACCTCCTCATTCTCTCTCTCTTACAGACACCGAAGCCACCTCAGGCGAGGGAGCCTCCCAAGGCAGTGAGTATTTTTTTCCTCCTGGTGGGCTTTGGGGCGCCCAGAGGGCCAGGGGTGGAAGGAGGAGACGCTTTTACCCCCCACCCCCAGGAGTGCCTCAAGTGGCCTCCGGGACACACGTTGCTGTGGTCCAGACTTTGGGGCCAGAGAGTCCTTAGGAAACTGTAGCACAGCACCGCAGAGCCGCCTTTCCCAAAGGATAATACGCCGCATGACACACTCATCCTGGGGACGCAGTGAGGTGTTCTGGTGGTAAAGGGCTCTCTGGCCAAATAACCTGGGGAAACCTTGAGTTCTGCTAAGATGAACATGTTTCTTGCTGTAGACTTCTCAAGGCCTTTCGTTGGCAAATAAGCATGTATCCCTCCAAGAGGGACTCAGCGTGTGCCGTTTTCCCCTGTATTTTAATTCCCACTTATGGGTCTGGGGCTGCCTAGCTGGCGTTTGGGAATTCCTCCTTCAGAGAATTACCTCATGAGCACCCGTGGGCACCCCTGGTGTGTGGGGTCCCAGAGCCTGGGGTGTGCAGGCCTTGACATCTGGGGACAGTGTTTGCCTTTGCTGGCCACAGGTCCTGCTCGCCTCCCTCCAGAGCTAAACCCATGGGCCTAGTGAGCAAAGGAAGCCGCCACAAAAGAGCCCCTCTTAAGATCTGTGCACAGAAAACGTACAAATGGGATGCTATTCATGCTGGAAGGGTCAAAGTCCTGGTTACCTTTGGGACAGGCCTCTGAGCTCTGATACTTGAGCTGGGCCTTGGTGACACAGGTGTTTTTGGTTTACGAAAATTGGACCAACTGAACACTTAGAATTTGTGTCCATTCTACATCAAGGTTCAGCAAACTTTCGTAGGGGAGGATATAGTAAACATGGTGGACTTTGCAGGCTAAACATTTCCGTCACAACTGCCCACTTCTTCCATGTAGCACGAACACAGCCAGAAATGATATGGAAATGAATTCCTTACCAAAACAGACGGTGGCAGGCCATAGTTTGTCACCCCTGTTCTACATGTCTGTTATGCCGCCATAAAAAGTTTCTTAAAATGTAAATAAACACGACCTCCCCCCACATCTAAAACAGAGCAGTTTAAGGAGGTGCCTGGAGCTAAAACGAGACCTGAACTGCACGGGATCCTAATAATAGCATGTCTTCTGAGACACTTTCCCATTCTTTCTCTCTGGAATTCTTACACCCCCGCAAGGCAGGCAGGGCTGAGGCTACTCCTCCATTTTCTGGAGGCGAATCTGAGGCTCAGGTTAGTCGATAACGGCTGGAGGGCCCGTGGCTGGGCGGAAGTGAAGGCCTGCCCCTTCTTCCCACGCCCTGCCCCGCTCTGGCCTGGCCCCTGGCTCCTTTTCCCTCAGTAGCTTCCTTCTCTTCCGGCTTCCATGGCCTGCCTGTGGCCAGCCACACATTTAAAGAACTTCCCCATTTATCTTTCCTTCCTTGGTTATTCTGGGCCCCTGGCCTCACCAGCAGCCCCTCAATGATGTGTTGTGTTCTCTCTGGCTTCCGTTGTTCCTGGAGGCTTGCTGGTTGCTGGACTCTGTAGCTAGGGATATTTTTAGTCCTTCCGTCACTTTTTCCTTCTTCCTTGTGGAATTTGCTCCCTGTGGCCAGTGTGCTTTATTTTATTCCCAGACCTGTATCCCTGCCCTGACCCAGGCCAGCAGTGCCTGCTCAGAAAGCCTGGCGTCCTCACAGCCCAGCCTCGTTACTGGAGCCTGGCCGTGGAGTCCCGGAACCAGAAGCGTCCTGTTGAGAATAGCAAGTCCAGCCTACCCATTTTGCAGATGAAGAGACTGAGTCCCAGAGAGCAGTCATCCAGCTTGTTAGGGGCAGAGGTGGGCACAGAAACCAGGTCTCACACCTTTAGCCCAGGAATCTTTCATTTATTTGTTAGAAAAATTATATAGTCATACATAGAGGCATCTTACCCATCTTTCAACTAAGACAATAAAAGATTGACTCCTAGTTCTCTTGATACTGTCACAAGTGATTCCCTTTGCAAAACAGTAACATTAGGTAACAAATTTACTAAGTATTTATTGTATGTTAGGCATTGTGCTCGTTTATTTATTACAACTCAGGGAGATGAAGGAACTATGGTTCTCCTTTTCCAGATAAGAAAACCGTGGGGCAGAGGTTAGGGAGTGTTTCTGACATTAGTTGCAGTTGTAAGCAGTCGAGCTGGGTTTGAGCTCGGGCGGCCTGACTCAAGAGCCTGCCTCCTAAAACAGATTAGTGGTGGCATTCCTGGAGCCACTGAGCTCTCTTGGGGTTTGAAAAGCTTAGTTTCACTGACAAAAAGTCATTTTGCCTTTTTTCCTTTGGGGATCACTCTCTTTTTATCCTAATCCACTCCTTCCTTGGGTGGGCCCAGGAATGTGGTCCCATCCACATTGAGTAGTGATGGGGGATTTGACAGGGACGGGTGGGGGCACTTTTCACTGGCAGAAAATGGGGGTTCATTTCATGGTTTTTTTTTTGTTGTTTTGTTAGTTTCAGGTATATAAAACAATGCAATAGTTATCCTTTTCACCCCTCAAAAGAAACAACCCCCCTCCCCCCATTCACTCCCCTCCCACCCCCGATATCATGCTTACCTATTACAATTCCATTGACTCTATTCCCACAGTCTACTCCACTATATGTATATATAATTATAGTTGACATACAATATTATTCAACATCAGCTTCGGAAATACAGTGCTGTGGTCAGGCCTCTACACCATCTATGCAGTGGTCTCCCTAACAAGACATGAGTCCATCTGGCCCCCTAAAAAATATTTACAACGTTATTGATTATATTCCACAGACTGCCTTTTCTATCCCTGAGGCCATATTGTAGTTGCCAATTTGTATTGTCTCGTCCCTTCCCCTTCTCCTTCATCCCCACCCCCTCCCAACTAGCAACCCTCAGTTTTTCCTGTGTCCCTGAGACTGTTTCTGTTTACATTTCTCATTTATTCCGTCTTTCATGTTTCATGGGAGGTGGTAGATGTGGCCCGACTGGTAGGAGAGACTGTGTGGGCAGAGACAGGGCGAGTGGGGCAGGCAGCTGTGGAGGAGGGTGACCAGCGCTGGCCAGCTGGGTGAGGAATTTCAGGGGCAGGGCCCCATCTCTCAGGACCAGCAGACCTCAGGTAGCCTTAACTTCGCCACCTCTGTTCCCCAAGAGAAGATTACGGTCCAGATGGGACCTGATGGGAGAGATGGTTGTCGAAGCTGAATTGCTGGGCATGGGAAAGGATTCTGAAGCCTAAGCCAGGCTTGGACTCCTGGAACCACCGGCCTAGAGAGGCCCCGGAACCAGCTTGTATACTCCTCTCCCTGCCCCCTCAAATTAAGGGGTAAAGAGGGGATCTGAATCCCAAGGTGGGGTCAGCATTTGCTGGCAGTGTGGGCGAGGCAGGGCAGGGCCAGGCCTCTTCCCACAACTCTCTGGCTGGTTCAGGTGTGATGGTAGGGCCTGGTAGGATGGTGGCGTGCCTGGACCCTGCCTGGTCCCCACACGCTCAGAATATCTGCGTGTGCCAAGGCTCTGTGTGCCTCACTCAAGGACCAGTTAGCCTCTGTGGCCCTGGCATCTACCAAGGCACTTCCAGAGACTGCAGGTGTGGTGGAAGAGGCGGCGGCAGAGGCGGGGAGATGGCTGCTGTCGTCTGTGTCCCAGAGTTCAGCTACACGGGGGCCAGAAATGTTTCCGCAGAATTGCCTGGCATTGCACCCTTGGGATGGAGGGGTTTCATCAGACCCTGTATTTGGGTGCTGAGGAGCAGAAGAGGGGCCAAGGGGCTGGTGCCCTAGCCCAGGATTGGAGGGTGGCTTGTCCAGACAGAGAAGGGCCACGTGCCCTGACTCAACCATAGCTTGGAGTTAAGGGAGTGTTTGGATCCTGGCTACTCCCCGGCCCACCGTGCAGCCTGTGCAAGCTGCCCAACCTCCCTGTGCCGGGCTTCCTCAAGAAGGTGGGGTGGAGGGGTCGTCCCTAGATCAGCCCAAGGAAGGTACACGCAAGGCTTGTGCCAGGGCAAACATTAGAGGGTTGCCAGTGTGATGAGGGTAATGTCCTGTGTAAGTCTGACCTCAGACTTTGGATAGACCTAGGCGATCATCCTAATTTGGATCCCGTATCCATTATCTATTGCTCTGTAACACGGTTCCCAAAATTTAATGACTTAAAGCAACAAACACTGATTATCTCACGGTTTCTATGGGAACCATCTGGATGTGGCTTCCCTGGGTCCTTGGCTCTCAGTCTCTCGAGAGGCTGCAGTCAAGGTGTCGGCCAGCGCCGTGGTCTCATCTCAAGGCTCAGCCGGGGCAGGAGCTGCCTCCACACGCACTCATGGTTGTTAGCAGAATTGGTCTTTTCCAAGCTCGTGGACTGAGGGCCTCAGTTCCTCACTGGCTGTTCACCAGAGGCTGCCACATGGATCTCTCTATGGGGCAGCTTATACATGGCAGCTAGCAAAAGCGAGATGGTATGAGCAAGACAAAAGTCGCAGTCTTTTGTAACCTAATCTCAAAAATGGCATTCCATCACTTGACTGCATCCTATCACTTTAGAAGCAAGTCAGTAGGTCCAGCCCTGACTCAAGGGGAAGGGATCGCATGAGCGTGAACACCAGGAGACCAGGTCATTGGGAACCATTTCCAAAGCTACCAGCCATGGGGCCTTCCAGCTGAGGGGCTTGGGGGAGGTCCCTTCTGAGCCTCGGTTTCCCTGTGTGTTAAATGGGTTACTGCTTCCTCCCTCAGTTGCAAGGACTCATGAAAGACATGCAGTGAAAGCGCCTAGCTGGGTGCCCTGCACATGTAGCACCCAGGAAGTGGTAGCTGTGTGATTGTTATTCTCGTGTCACTTCACGAAGGGAGGTGGGGCCAGTTATGACCCAGGCCATCAGGAGCTCAGCTCACATAGGGTAGGATTGGGGGTTGGCTTGAAAGTCACTTCAGGGCTCCCCGGTCTCCTTGTGTAGAGGACCCCCGACACTGCAGGAACTGATTCTCCGTGGCATCACCAGTTGGGGCCAGTCTGGGCTAGTCTTTTCTTTGATTCCTGAAGCAGATGAGCTGGTCCCAAAAACTACTCCAAGTGACTGAAGCCCTGGTAACCGTGTGTGTCTTTCCATACCCACAGACAATTTCAGGTACACGTGTGACATCTGCGGGAAGAAGTACAAATACTATAGCTGCTTCCAAGAGCACCGAGACCTCCATGCAGTGGATGGTGAGTCAGGCCCCGCACTCCCCACCTCCCCGGCTGGAGAGGGCCCCCTCCCTGCCCCTAGCCCTCGTCTGTGTCCTCCCGCCCAGAGGAAGGTCATCAGCGGCCAGACTTTGAGGAGAGTGACCAACCCCTGAGGATCCTGAGGGAGAAAAGGTCTCCATCATTCTCATGTATACCTCTGATTAGGGTAATGTGAGTGAAATTGCCGGTTTTGTAGATTAAAATCAGTCAAATACTCACAATTTTATATCGATTCATTATACAATTTCATGTTGAGTCTTCACATGCTCTGGTGAAATTAAACCAATTTTTAAAAATGAAGGATGGTATTTTAGCATCTTAGATTGTAGAGTTTGAAATTAGAACAGTTAATTTAGGTAATTTGTTTTCAGAATCTTAAGAATCCTAGAAATAGGGTCTTAGACCTTGGAGGGATCTTGGGTGCCCCCTCTCTAGCCCTATGCCCAGCTATGACAGCTGGGCCCATCACCTGTTGCCGTGGGCACATCCTTCTCTCGTCTCCCTCCTCTCTTTCTCTCCTCCTGATCTTTCTTTTTTCCTCCTGCCTTGGCCCCTCGTGTGGGTGCTGGTGGTTCCAGAAACAGGGCAGATAGCGAGCATCTGCCCGCCCCTGGGGTGGGCCCCTGCTGTGGAAGGAAAAGGAGTGGAGGCACAGGCTCCGTCCTGGTTGGGAGGCAGCCCCCTGTGGCCCCTGGTTTTCTGGGGCATCGACTCTGGCCAAGGCAGCTCTCCTAGGCCCCAAAGGCGAGCTTACCTGGATGGAGGCTGGGAGCAGTGGGCAGAGGCAGCTCTGGGCAGGGACTAACAGGGCTCCTGTTTGCTTCTCTCCTTCTGCGGCTGCCGCCTCCTGCCCGGGCGCAGTGTTTAGTGTGGAAGGGGCCCCCGAGAATCGGGCAGGTAAGTCCTCGGTGGCCAGCCACCTCCCCTGTCCCCAGCTGGGCTCCCAAGACCTGGTTACCAGGGCGCTAAGGGCCGTGTGTTCTCCCGCAGACCCCTTCGACCAAGGTGTCGTGGCCACTGAAGAGGTGAAGGAGGAACCCCCGGAACCATTCCAGAAAATCGGGCCAAGTATGCGGGCCTCTCCCTGGGGCAAGGGCTGGGTTGGGAGACGGGTGGGTGCTGGCTGAGGGTAGCAAGGTGAGTTCCGCCGCTTGAAGGAGGTGGCACTGCTTATCCTGCATCAACGTCACTGGCTGGTGGGCCACTGGCCTCCTTGGACCTCACTTTGCCCACCTGACAAATGGGTCAGTCAGTGTTAGGACTTGAGCTTTTGAGAAGCAGCAGGACAACACAGGGTCAAGGTCAAGGCAGTGAAGGTCGCACATGCTTGGCGCCCTGGCAGTCTGTTAGCCGTCCTGAGCCTCGGCTCCTCACCTGTGGCATGAGGATGACATTTCCCCACGGGCTTGTTGGGGGATTAAATGAGATCATGGCTATAAATCACCTATTAATTAGCACAGTGCCTGGTACATAGTAGGTGCTCGGAAAATAACTGTTGTCATTGTCATCGGAAGGGGTTTAGCAGCCAATGAAGCTATTCAGGGGAGCCCCATGCAGATGATCTGTCCTTGTCCCAGTAAACCCCTGAGGGCGGGAGCCTTGCACAGGACCGACCTGTTTTCAGCATCCTTGTATTGAGTGTTGTGGGCACACAGTGATGAGCAGTGCAGATGCGGCCCTGCCCTTGGATAATGCACACGGGGCGGGGGAGGCCTAGGCCAGGAAGCAGTAGTTACAGCATAGCCTGAAGAACAGCGGGCTGTGGCTCTCGAGGGGCACCTGACCAGCCTTGGGAACCCAGAGGCTTCCACATGGGGTCCAGGGTGGAGAATGAGTCCCTGTGTCTCTTGTGAAGGCAGAAAAGCCCCACCAGGAATTGAAAGGCAAACCTCGCCTGAGTTCAGGTCTTAGAGAGCCTTGAATGCCAGATGAAGTTAGTTAGACTTCGTCCTGAGGGGACTCAGCCAGAGAGCTTACCAAATGGGGAAGGGACTTGATTAGTTTGCATCTTAGGAAGACCACTTTGGCTGCTGCAAGAATGGATGTGCGGTGGTGGGGGGGTGTTCTCATAAGTGACATTCATCTGGCCTAGCCCTTCAGACATTTACATACTTGCTTATTCCTTTCTTTACTTCCTGTGCCTGTCTTACTACCCAGCAAGAAAAGACCTTTATTAACTTGGCCTCATCACAATAAGGATTAAGGTAGCTTGCAGAAATATACACACAAACACACAACAAGTGGATACGGAAACCTGAGGGCAGAGAAATCGAGGGAGCCACAGCAGTGAAGCCAGAGGTGCTCCTCAGGGTGGGGCTTAGCCCCAGGCCCTTGGAAGGTGTTGGCGAGGTCCCCTGAATGCTTTTCTTCCCCCCTTCCTCATAGGGGATGATTGTTTTTACTCTGAAAGCACTCAGGAAACTGCAGATGTGATAATATCTGTAAAGTGGTTAGCACAGTGCTTGTCATGTAAATGCCTAGTAAATAGTCAGCAAACGGTAGCATTAAGATAGTGAAGAAAAGGATGAAATCCTCAAGACAAAACTGTTATAAGGTAGACTGTGGGAAGACCTAGATGTGAATCAGACACGTTCCATGATGGACATTCGTAGACAGATACAGGACAAGGACAGCAGGACCCATGAACCTCCACTGTACTATCTGCCGGCAGCCCCAGCGTAGCACTGCCCTTCCATCTCTAGCATCATAATTATGAAAAGAGGCTTTGGAATCAGGCCCTGGTTTGAATGCTGGCATCACCAATTTACTAAATACTTACCCTCTCTGAGTGTCCTTTGACTCATCTGTAAGTTGAGGACAAGAACGTCTATTCTACAGGATGAATCCATAAAGTGTCCAGCCAGCACCTGTTTCGTATTCAGGGCATCACAAATGAGCGATGGCGCCAAGAGGTAGTTGAGAGTGAGAGCTGTAGAGCCCTCCCAAATATGAATCCCAGCTCCACACTTAATCCCCCGGTGACATCCTGCAAATTTTGTAATCTCTCTAATCCACCGTTTCTTTAACTCTAAAATGGAGTGATGACAGTAAAACTTAACCTCAGGATTGTCATGGAGATGAGATGAGATTATATTTGTAAAAGAATTCGTCCTTGACACTTATATTAAATAAGTGGTACCTACTAATTACCCAGGAAGGTGCAGAACAAGATAAAACTTGTCCTATATATCAGTAACTAAGCCTTACAGACAACCAGGGCTAGAACCTGGGAGGAATTATCCCAAATGACACAGTAGGAAATTGTACTGAGAAAACCAAACTTGAGTTTGAGTTCCCGCATGCCCCCAACTTGATGCTGTGGACGCGAGGTCACTAGAATAGAGGGAGGCTATCCCTTGTTACCACTTAGAAGCTGCCTTGTGAGATAAGAATGCTGCTTTCTTCTTGTCAGCAGGCCAATGCCACAGAACCGTAAAAATGACGAGGTGTAGAATAAGGGGAACCAGTAGTGGCATGGTGCCTTTGAAAGGACTAGTCGCCACAAGTAGTGCTCTGTAGGTCCAGAAAGAGGAAAAATAACCTAACAGCAGTGCATGCTGGGAAGCACACCGTCCACATCGGCTTCAGTTGAGCAAATTAGAGAATTGGGTACTTTGAGAGGAGGAAGCCAAAGCCATGACAGAGCAGAGAAATCCTGCTAGGAAGATGGAGTTGGTCTAAGGGGCCCTGTTGTGTGTCAGCTTGCTCTCCAGCTGCAGATCTGAGAATAACTACCATGGTAATGGTTTACTCTGATAATGAGAAGATTGAGGGCAATTCATTCATGTCTGCTGAAACAGAATAAGCTAGACTCATTTTTAGGTTACTTGATTTTTATATGTGGATAAGGGAGAATAACTTGTAAAATAAAAGTAAATAGGTAAATAAAAGCAAAACATCAGAACTATGAAATTCCACCTACCACGAAAAAAAGAGCATTTAGGAGACCCAGAGGAAGAGAACACCTCTGCAAATGATACCTCAAAATCTGAAAGAAAATTCTGTTTGACAACCACAATTGATTATAAGAAAATATGACCTGTCTTAGTCCCCTCGGGCTGCCTTAACAAAATACCGATGGGTGGTGTAAGCAACACATTTACTTTCTCACAGTTCTGGACGCTGGAAGTCTGAGATCAGGGTGCCAGCATGATTGGGTTCCAGTGAGATCCCTTTTTGGCCAAATACCATCACCTTGAGAAGCATCAACACCTGAATTTGGGGGAACAGAATTTGGTCCATAGCATGACCCCTGTGAAAAAGGAGCCTGGAGTTGTATGGTGACAAAGCTACAGGATAAGATGAAAAGGCAAAGAGAGAGAACTGAGATGAGGAAGAATTGCAGAGAAGCTGAAAATACAAGAACAGAACTGAAATCTCCATTGTAGGTAACAAAGAGCAGAATCGATTTGCAGAAATGGAATTAATGCTGTGAAGGACAGATTTGAACAGATGAAGATAATAAGAGGAAAACATGGTGAATATGGAGAAGGGAACCAGGTCCAGATAACTGATGGTGTTGTACTAGTGGAACAGAAGATGGAACAGAAGAGAAATTTGCTCAGCTCAAGGAAGACCTGTGTATGCAGATTTAAGGGCTCATCATATGTCAGGTAGAGTCAATATAAATAGACGCATAACTAAATGAGATCTTAGTGACTTTTTAAAACTATAAATATGAAGGACAAAATTATACAGCCACCTAGAAATACAGAAAGCAAGTTATTTACAAATGAATCCATGATGGACATGCCCCAGACTTTCCTTTAATACTAAATGCCAAAGGCAGTGAAATCGTTTTGAAGGGAAAAGGTTGTAATCGAAGAATTTTATATCTCAATAAATTGTGATTTATGTGTAAAGAAAAAAGCCAGGTCTCAAAAACATACTATATCTCCTGTGTAAATCTTCAAGGAATTATTTGAAGTTATACTCCAATGAACCGAGTGGTAGACCACGTTTAAGGGCTCAGTTATGAGGAATTAATTCACAGTACCAGAGCACTTGTGAATGCTAAAGCCAGGTAAACTAGAAGTAAGTTTAAAATGTTGCAAAATCTGATTATAAAGTTGTTTGCGAAAGATGAAGTTTACTCTGGGATATTAAAAATGAATTTTAAAAACAGAAGAAGGAAGTAATAGGGGGTGTATACAGTAAAGGTTAAGCCAGTCCTGCTTACAGTGTGGTCCCCAGACCAGCAGTAGCAACATCTCCTAACAGCTTACTAGAAATAGAAATTCTTAGGTCCCACAACAGGCCTATGGAATCAGAACCCTTGGGGGCGGGGGCAGCAATCTGTGTTGTAGCAATCTCTCTAGATGATTCTTACATATGCTGAAGTTTGAGAAGCACTGAGTTAAACTCTTCTCAATGGTAATAAATGTGAAAATGTAATTTCCTGCTTCATATATAACAATTAGAGAAATATCTTATATACTGTCTAAAACAATGAAGAATGTTGGAAAATAATTGAATATTGGAGAATAATGGAAAGGCAAAGAAATGAGTTTATGTGTCAAACAACTGAAAACTAAGGGAACAACCAGAAAAGGTGGTGGAGCATGGGGGGAAAAAAAGAATCGTGGAGTAAAACCAAGTCAATTATAGCAATAAAAGCAAATGGCATGATCTCCTCTATTAGAAGACAAAAATTCTCAGGTTAATTTCAAATAATCCAATTATTAATGGTTTATTAGAGGTATACCTAGTTAATTTCCTTATCTTGTACCCTTCTCTTTCTCAAGAAACTCTTTGCTACGTCCCTAACTAAATTGAATTCCCTATTAGAATTTTCATACCATTGTAAATATCTCTTTAAGAGCGCACATCATGGTTGCAGTGTTAAGTTTGTGTGATTATTTGATTTTTCTGTCTCCTTTTCCAGACTGTAAGCTCCTTGAAGGCAGGAACCGTGAGTCTTTTTGTTCAATATTTGGTGCCGGCAGTTAGCACAGTATCTGTTTAATGAATAAAAGTGCAGGAAAATTTAGGGAAATGTCTTCAGGCACATGCAAACATGTGGAAAAGAGGATCTGACAAAATAATCACCAAGAATTAATAGCAATGCCAGATGAACTAATAAAACTGGGTAATTAAATGTTAGAGCAGTGGTTCTTAAACTTTCCCATGCGTCAGAATTTTCTAGGGGTCCTATTAAAACACGGGTTACTGGATTCCATTCCTAGAATTTTTCTTTCAGTGTGTCTTAGGTAAGTCCTGAGAATTTGCATTTCTAATAGGTTCCCAGGCGATGCTGGTCCAGGGACCACACTTGGAGAAGCACTGTGTTAGAAAATAGGATAATGTTAAGAAAAAAGGTACAGGTCACAGTGAATATTTTGACCTCCCTAACCCACATACATCAGACAACATTGTATCTAACGCTACAAAATAAATTTAGAAATACAGTGAAATGGAAGGATTTATCACATTTAGCCTTTGACAGAGCAAGCATACGAAGAATTAATACAGCTGGCCTAACAACTTTGAAGCCTACAAACAGCACAGAGAGCTTTTCCAGTGTTCATGAATCAGTTACAAAAATCATTTAACTGTGAAAAATGTTAAAGCTTCTATATTGAGAGAAAAAAATCGTAAACAAAATAAGAAGCCAATCTGAGAAAAAACTACTTGTGATTAACATATAGGACAAAAGGTTGGTGTTCTTCATCTGTCTACAGAGTTCTTAGTGATTTAAAAAAGGTACATACACCTATAGAAACGTTGGCTGTAAACACAAATGGGAAAGTCACAAAAGAAAAACTATAGTTAATTGAACATGAAAAATAGTCAATTTCCTTAAACCTCAAAGAAGTGGGAAAAACCCAGCAGTGCGTTACAGCTCCCCATATCAGTCACAGTTTAAGAAGAGAGTAATACTTAATGCTGGCTACAGTGTATGGAAACATTTTCACATCTTTCTGAGTGAGATAAAATTTGGACCAACCTTTTGATGGTTCATGGTGTTATGGTTATCAATAACCTTAAAAATGCATACCCTTAATTTATCCTGTGGAAATAATGTGCAAAGATTATGCACAATAATCTTTATTTTGCAATGATGTGCAAAAATAATGAGCAAACATGCAAAAATTTCTACCAGGATGTGTGGATCACAGCGTTTTTTTTCATATAAGGAAAAAAGTTTTGAAACAATCTAAATGCCCACTGGTGTAGGAGATGGGCTCAGCAAATTCTGAAGTCCAGTGGGAACCGTGCAGCCAATAAATGCAGTAGAGATCGAAGTTTATTGATTGAGCAAGATGTCCACAAAGTATTGTCGATTGAATGCACCAGGTTACAAAGAAGATATAGATCAGGGCTGCTAATTCGCAGGAGCCAGGCAGATGATGTCAGTGAGAAGCACGCCCCAGATGAGATGGGAGTGAGGGGTGGGACCTGGGACAAGGGGCGAGGTGCACGTTCTACCCAAGGGGTAGCTGCTATTCTTTGGGGGTTACAGATGATTGAAATTTCTCTTTATTTTTTAAATTTTGTATTTATCAGTATTTTATAATTTTCCCCCAGTGAACAATATTACATCAGAAATTTTTAAGAAGAAAGAAGTTAGGCAGACCCAAAAGAGAGGTAAAGATAAAGTTGCGTGGGACCTGAGAGGAAGAAGTGACCTCTTCTGCTGGGGGGGTGGGGGGTGCTTGGGGGCAGGGAAGGTCCTGGAGACAGGGGAACCAAGTGTGGCCATTGCCGAGGACAGGGTTTGCAATGGGGCTGATAGGAAGGTTGGCACTAGAGGTTAACTTGGGTCACCACACACTTCCTGAGCACTGGGGCCAGGGGGTGGAGTGATGAAGGAGAACAGTGTGTGCCAGGTACTGTTCTAAGCACTTGACGTATAAATTTAATCCTCACAGCAATCCTATAAGGTGGTCCTATTATTATCCCCGTTTTACTGATAGGAAAACTGAGGCACAGAGAGGTTAAGAGATTTGCCCAAGGTCACACAGCTCGAAATGGCAGAGCTGGGATTTGAACCCAGGTAGTCAACTCACCTGGGCTCCTGATGCTAGCTGATGGTCCCAGAATGAGGCAGAGTTTTGGGGGAGGGAGGACACTGCTGCGTTTCTGGATGGGAGCCTGGCGTCTATTCCCACACTTTCCTCTTCTTCTTGGACAGAAACTGGTAACTACACCTGTGAATTCTGCGGCAAGCAGTACAAGTACTACACGCCCTACCAGGAGCACGTGGCCTTACATGCCCCCATCAGTGAGTACCTTTTGTTGTTGGTGGAGGGGTGGGTCAGCCAGAGGGCTCGGGGGCTTTGCCAGAGGAGGGTGAAAGCAAAAGGGGAGCTTGATGTGGGCCAATCTCTAGGCGTCCAGAGGCGACCTGGGGTCACCTTACTCTAGTAGCTGGAATAGCTAGGAAAGCCCTACCCTTAAGACAGAAAAGCCTGAGTCCTCCCTTGGTGGATTCAGAGTGGGCACCACTTATCCAAGTGGTTCCTGAATCCCCGCCCCGCAAAGCCAGCGCCATGTGATGCAGCCTCGGTCTGAGCCCTGAAGGGGTTAACCCAAGCTAGGCCATGGCCAACTGGACAGGACAGCTCCCTCTGTGCCCTTGGTGGTGGAAAGGGTAAGAAGTTAGAGGGCGCGCTAAGCCAGGCCTCGGAGCCCTGGGTGTTCGTCCTGAGCAGGGTCGTAGGCGTGTGTGTGCGCCCTTGAGTGGGCCTCATCCTTGCCTCTGGCCCCCCCCACTCTCGCCTCCCTCCCCTGACTGGAGGGGAACAGTTTCTAAGGGCCTTTCCCACGCAGACACCCTGGCCTTCCCTTCTCCTGATGCCGCTGCTTTCCCAACCTCTGTTCTGGATGTCAGCGGGGGCTCCACGCTTAGATTCCCCAAGTATATGAACTAGGAGGCCCTCAGTCCCCAACCAGGATGACCGGGGTGGGGCTTAACCAGGGCCTCAGGGCAGCAGGGTGGGATGTTTAGGAGCAGCCGTGGGAACACCCCCTCTTTTGTTTCTCAGGGCAGAGCCATGTAGATCCCCCTCCACTGCCTCTGGGAGAGGAGACTTAGGCCCAAACACAGGGAGGGGGGAGTAACGCAAGGTCAGCCAGGTTTTAAGCTGCCTAGTCTGGGAGGCCGGATGACCTCCAGCCAAGGACATTCAGGTGGGTTGGAAGAGGTGTCCAGAGCTTAGAGGATGGTGCAGGCAGGTTCCCCAGGAAGTCCTCCCTGCTGGCCAAAACAACAGAGGTCATGGGTGATAGCCCCTGTCCCGAGGTCGATAACGGGTTTAAGATTCTTGTCCTGCTCAGCCTCTGACTGCTGGGGGACCTTGTGCCTGTCACTTCCCTTCTCTGGGCTCAGGTTTCCCATCTGTGGGAGCCCTGGAGGCCTTTCCAGCTCTGGGCTCTGAATTCTAGGCATCTGCAGTGTGAGGAAACCCTCAGGCAGGCATCCCTGGTGGCCCAACTACAGAAACCCATCCTGCCACCCAGGCTAGGGACATAGGGGTTATCCAGTTCCCACCACATGTCCAGGTCCTGTGTGGGGAGAGAGGATACAGCTTCCACTTAGTGGGCATGACCCATCCATTTGACCCACTGATGGTGCTGAGTCATCAGGGCTGTGGCTGGGCGTGAGCACCATGGCCTGGACCCCTCTGTGGACCCCTCTTTCCGTGGCCCGGGACTGGCAGCTCTGTGGGCAGCTGCCCTGCTGCCTGACGCCCAGAGCGGATGCTGCCCAGAATGCAGTTAGCGGTTAGTTACAAGGCCAGCCTGCAACCATGCTTTCAGCCTTTGGAGAATACCTTCAGTGCTGCTTCTGCGCGTCCCCCAAATCGCTCTTTCTAGAACACATTGTAATCATGGAGTTAATAAGAGGGGGAGCTTGGCTTTCAACCTTGGCAGGCAAGCTCCAGGCCCATACTTTTAATTTTGAAGCTATCCTGCATCACATGTCAGATGGTACAACACGAAAGGGTCGTTGCCTGCACCCCGATTTCTTCCTTAACATCCAGGTGCTTCTCTCCTGAACAGCTGCTGTCTGCTTTTCTCTGTTGTTCGTTTTCTTTTTCTCTCTGTTATGGACTCTCTTTCTTTGTCTTTCTGCATCTGTTTGTTGAATAAATCTCTCTTCTCTATCACTAAAGTCTGGGGACTCTAGGGTCATCTGTGTTTAAAATATAGCATGAGAGATTTAGGCTAGATCTAACAGAGGACTGATTCTTCAAGGCTGACCAATAGCCCCTCCTTTAGATCTAGAGATATGTATGTTCGTGGGTTCTGTGTGGAATTAGGGACTGGACTTCACGGCTTAAGTGGTACCCAGGGCCAGCCCTGGGTCTCATGAGAATATCCAGCGGGACCTAGGCTGGCTGCAACAGTTCTTACAAATGGAGTCATAATAGTATGTACTCTTTTGTGTCTGGCTGCTCTCATGCAGCAAAGTATTTTTAAGATTCATACATATTGTTACACACACACACTCACACACACTCACATCAGCTCATTTTTACTACTGAGCAATATTCCATTGTATGAAAAATACCACAGTTGGTTCAGCCGTTTGCTTGTTAATTTGAGTTGTTTCCAGTTTTAGGCTGTTATGAATAAAGCTGCTATGAAAATGCTTGTACAAGGCTTTTTGTGGACAGATGTGTTCATTTCTCTTGGATAAATACCAAGGACTGGAATTGCTAGGTCATAGGGGAGAGAGAATGTTTAACTTTTAAGAACTCACTAACCGTTTTCCAGAATGACTGCAGCATCTTACTCCCACCAGTCACGGATTCCCCGTTCTTGCCAACACTTGATGGCAGTGGTCTATTTAATTCTAGTTATTCTGGGGATTGTCTAATGGTATCTCATGTTGTTCATTTGTAATTTCCTGATGACTAAAGAAATGGTGTTGAGCACTTTTTCAGTTGTTTATGGGCCTTTGTATATTTACTTTGGAAATTATTGAAATCTTTTGCCTATTTTTTGGTTGCATTGTTTGTCTTTTTAATAAGTTACAGGAGTTCTTTATATATTCTAGATTGGGGCCTTTATCAGATATATGTATATCTACATATAGGGAATATTTTCTCTGTCTTCATCATGTCTGTTGATTTTCATATAGTGTCTTTTGATGAGCAGTTGTTTTTCATTTTGATGAAGTCTAATTTATCATTTTTTTCTATGGTTAGTGCTTTCTGGGTCCCACCCAGGATACCCTTATATATCTCAAGATGGTGATGATATTCTCCTTTATTATCTTTTAGAAGCTTTATAATTTTAGCTTGTCTGTGATGCATTTCAAGTTAATTTTTGTAAATGATGAGAGGTATGAGTTAAGATTCATTTCATTCCATAAGGATATTGGTTGCTCCAACATGATTTGTGGAAAAGATTGCCTTTTCCACATTACATTGCATTGGGACCTTCGTTGAAAATCAATTGAATGTATAAATAAATGAGTTTATTTCTGTGCCATTGATTTATTTGTCTGTGCTTATGCCAACATGGTCTTATTTACTAGAGCTTTATAGTAAGTATTAAATCAGGTACTCAGTTTTTCAGTGTTGTCCTTTTTAAAGAATATTTGTCCATTCTAGGATCTTTTCCTTGTAAATGTTAGTCTTCTTGCCAATTTGTACAAAATAATAACTAGGATTCTATTTAGAATTACACTGAATCTGTAGACCAATTTGGGGAGAATAGCCATCATAATAATATTGGGTCTTCCGATCTATGAACATGGTATATCTCTCCAAGTATTTAGGTCTCTTACTTTCTGTCAGCAGTAGTTTGTACCTTCAGAGTAGAGGTCTTGCACATATTTCGTTAAATTGCCTCTAAATATTTTATGTATTTTTTTATATTACGGTGATTTTTTAATTTTCTAGTCATTGTTGGTAGTACATGTAAGCACAATTGATTTCTCAATATTGACTTCAATGTTGAATTCAGTATTGCTAAATTCACTTATTAGTTCTAATAGGTTTTTTGTAGATTCTTAGGATTTTTCTTGTACATATTGATATTATCTGCTAATAAAGACAGCTTTATTTTTTTCTTTTTATTCTATTTTTCTTCTTTACTATACTGATTAGAACCCTCCAGTACAATGTTGAACAGGAGAAATGAGTGGCTGTCTCTACCTTATTCCCAATCATAAGGTTCAGTTTTTCATCATTAAATATCATCATTTTCATCAAGTATTATGTTGATACTTGCCCTTTATCAGTTGAGGAAGTTACAGTCTAAGTCCTAGTTTACTGAAAGTTTTTATCATAAAGATGTTTTTTCTACATCTGTTGAGATGATTCTGTGATTCTTTTATTCTGATTGGTGAATTAATGTGGATTGATATTTTTAAGAAGTTATTATGCCTATACTTCATTAAAAATACATTTAGAGTATCAGAAAGTCAACCTGTGAAATAAACTGAAGAAGGTTACAATGTTGGGATGTTTTTTTCTTTGCCAGAAGAATGACTTCCTTCTTTGAAACTTCTTTTTCTTGAATAGGTATCTGAATTACTTTAAGGCCTACAGTAGTTTGCAGAGTTAGCTTTCAAGAACATGTTTTCTGATCACTTCTACCTGAAATTTTCCAGAATTTTACCTGACTTTAATATCATTCCCAAAACTGACTCCTCACGGGCAGAGAACTACAGTCCTAGGATTAACAGAGTGCCCCATGCTCACTCAGTGGTTTGTTAATGATGGTCATAATCAAGAAAATAAATTTTTCTGGTGAAGCTTTTTAAACACCTGTATTGAGGTATATTGTCCTACAATAAAGGGCTTGTATTAAAGTGTACAGTTTGATAAGTTTTGACCTATGTAGACACCTGTAAAACCATCATTGCAATCAAGATTATGAACATATCCATCACTCCCCAAAATCCCTCACTTACCATTACCCCATCCTTAGGCAAGCACTGATCTGCTTCCTATTACTAGATTAGTTTGCATTTTCTAGAATATTGCATATGAGTGCGTATGTGGAATCTTATAGTATGTACTCTTATGGGGGGAAGGGGGTGTCTGACTTTTTTCACTTACCATAATTGTGTTAAGATTCATCTATGTTTGCATATAGCAGTAAGTACTTCATTCATTTTAATTGACAATTAAAATTAAGTTCACGAACTCATCCTAGAAAAAGTGCTACATACCTCATTGCTGAATATCACTATGGTCACCTTCAAAGTACTCCCTTTGGGAAGCTATACACTGATGCCAGCACCTAGTCCATGCTTCAAAGCAATTTTGGAACTCTTTCTGGAATGGCCATTAGAGCTGTCGTCGTATTACTCTTGATATCCTGAATGTCATCAAAATGTTTTCTTCCAATATTCCCTTTATCTTCAGGTAAAGAAAGAAGTCATGGGGGGCCAGATCAGGTGAGTAAGGAGGGTGTTCCAATACAATTATTTGTTTACTGGCTAAACTCCCTCACAGACAGTGCTGTGTGAGCTAGTGCATTGTTGTGATGCAAGAGCCATGAATTGTTGGTGAAAAGTTCAGGTCGTCTTTTTCACACAGCCTTTTCAGCACTTCCAAATAGCAAACTTGGTTAACTGTCCAGTTGGTACAAATTCACAATGAAAAATCCCTCCGATATCAAAAAAGGTTAGTACAAATTCACAATGAAAAATCCCTCCGATATCAAAAAAGGTTAGCAACATCATGGCAGCAAGTTTGCGAACTTAATTGTCGGACCTCATATAGTAAGTCCTCACTTGACATTGTCAACAGGATCTGTGACTTTAAATGAAACGACAAACAACAAAACTAATTTTACCATAGGCTAATTGATATAAACAAGAGTTAAGTTACTACAGCATCTCATCAATGATAGAATGAAATAACATTGAACAAAATGATATTGATTCTAAGACCTGTATAGATACCACAGTTTTCTTTACTCACGCATGGACATATGGGTTCCAGTTTGGAGCTAATAAAAATAAAGTTTCTGTGAACATTGCTGTACATATCTTTGTATGGACAAATGCTTTTATTCGTCCTTGGTAAATACCTGGGAATGGAATGGCTGGTGTATGTTTGACTTTTAAGAAACAAATTGTTTTCCAAAGCGGTCATGCGATTTCACATTCCAACCAGCAGTGTACTTTATTTTTCATGTAATCTTCTTGTCTAATTTGGGTATCAGAGTAATGCTAGCCTCATAGAATGAGTTGAAAAGAGTATTCCCTGAGTGGAGTGTCAATTAGGTTACAGTGACTGATAATGTAGTTCAAACCACTATACCTTTTCAGGCTTTAAAAATATATATATGCTTTTTTCTATCAAATCCTGAGAAAGAAGCATTAAAATCCACAACTTTAATTGTAGATAATGATGTTTCTCACTGTAGTTCAGTCAGGTTTTGATTTATGTATTTTGAAACTTTGTTTTTAGGTGCACACACTTAGGATCATTATATGTTGATGAACTGACCCTTTCAAAATTGTGCAATGCCCTTCTTTATCTCTGGTAATACCCATTGTTCTGAAATGTACTTTATCTGATATTAATATAGTCACTACAGCTTTCTTAGGATTAGTGTTTGCATGGTATATCTCTTTACAGCCTTTCCTTTTTAATCTATGTGTGTCTTTATGAAGTGCATACATGTTGTTGGTTCTCACCCCTTTATCCAGTCTGGCAATCCCTCCCTTGTAAATGAAGTGTTTAATCCACTTACATTTAATGTAATTTATTGATATGGTTGGATTTTAAGTTTACCGTCTTCTTGTATTTCTATTTGCCCCATTTCTATTGTTCATTTTTTCTTCTTTTCTTGCCTTCTTTAATATTAATCAATAATTTAAAAAATTTCCTCTGTTAGCTTCCTAGCTATATCTTTTTCTTTAGTGGTGACTCTGTGGTTTATAATATACATCTTTTTTTTTTTTTTCAGCTGAGCCATCCTGCCATCTGTTAGCAGCTCAGTGGCAGCTCAGCTCTGGCCGGGACTCGAACTGCTGTTGCTCAGAGCTCACACTCTTGAGTGAGCTCTTAACTAACTGAGCCACTCAGCCGGCCCCAATAATATACATCTTTAATGTATTATAGTCTACCATGAATTTATATCATAACGTATCACACATGATGTAAGAATCTTAAAACAGCATACTTTCATTTTACTCTCCTGCCCTTTGTGCTGTTCTTATCATACATATAAGCCTAAATAAGTTAGAAACCCAACAGCTATTTTTGTACTTTAAATTATTCATTACAGTAATTAAGAGATGAAAAAAATACTTTTTATATTTGCTCACATATTTACCATTTTCTGTAGTTTTCTTTGTATAAATCTGAATTCCTTCTATTATAATTTTCCTTTATTCCCTGAAGAACTTCGTTTAACATTTCTTATATTGTAGGTCTGTTCGTAAAGACTCTCTTAACTGAAGATGTTCTTATTTCATCTTTTCTTTTCAAGGATACTTTCTCTGGATATGCAATTCTAGGTTGAGATTTTTTTTTTCTCCAGCACTTTAAAAATGTCATTCTTTTATCTTCTGGCTTACGTTGTTTCTGATGAGAAGTCAGGTCATTCTGGTTGTTCTGTATTTAATGTATCTCTTTTCTCTGGATGATTCTAAGTATTTCTCTGTATTACTGGTTGTTAGTAATTTGATTAGGGGTGTGTAGTTTTCTTAGGGTTTATCCTGTTTGAGGTTCATTGAGCTTCTGGATCAGTGGATTTATATTTTTCACCAAATTTGGAAAATTTTCGGTCAGTATTTCTGTAAATATTTTTCTTTCCCAATTTCTCTTTCACCTCTTATTGAGACTATTTACATATATATTAGCTTGTGTGATGATATTTACAGATCAACTGAAGCTCTGTTTAGTGTTTCAGCCTTGTTTTCCTTCAGTGTGCCTGATTTATAAGTTAAACTATCATAGCAGAGCAAAAATCACAGTATGTCTAGGATTTGGTATTTAGGTATGTCTCGTATGTCATGGTTTCGGGCAGCCATTGGGGATCTTGGCATGCATCCCCTGTCGATAAGGTGGGGAGTGCTATAGTCTTCATTCTAGGATTAGAGTCATCTTTTCAAGGCCTGGCTTCTCTGGGTCTTGACTGAATGCCCGAGGTATTCAGCAAGGTCTCTCCTGAATGGCAGGTGGGATCTCAAATATCCTCTAACCTTGTACAGCCTCTGGATCCTCAGCTCATAGCCCCCCAATAGCTGTTGGCTGCCAGGCTCCTTCTGCACGCTTGAGTTTGGCATTCAGCTAAAGACTTCATGGGGCTCCTCTGCACATTTCTGGAGTTTTTTGTGTGTGTGTTGGTTTTTTTTTTGCCTGATTCTCTCCTCTTTGTTATTCTGCCCTGCAACTTGCAGCCATCTCAGGGGCGCTGCACTCTGATCACTGTCCCCTCAGTTCAGCGAGATCGCAGTGCTTCCTTTGGGTTTCACTTCCGTGCCATGGCCCAGAAGGGCTCTCCAGGCAGGGGCTCATGGAAGGTCTTCTGTGAATCACAGTCCTGCGCCTCCTGCTGTTCAAGGTCTGAAAACTGTTGTTTCGTGTATTTTGTCCAGCTTTACAGTTGAATTTGGAGGAGGGCTAGTCCCATACCAGTTGTTCCAGCACAGCCAAAAGTGTAAGGTCTCCAGTTTTCTTTCTAAGACTAAAATCCACAAGGAGGGTTTCCCAAATAGGCTCCTCCTGTATCATGTCTCCCGCTCATGTCCACCTCCAGCCTTGAGCACACTATTCCCATTTGCCTCGAATGCATTCTCACCCCCCTCTACCTAGGAGAGGTTTCCGAGAGACCAGGGGGTCTCTCCGCCCTCTCAGCTGCATAGTTACTTTTTTCACATCCTTATATTCTCTGAATGTTTTTCCTCCAGTTAAATTTTCAGGTTTACAGAAACATCTCTTACTTTTTAAACATCTCTTACGTATAAAGATCTCATATGTTTCCTACAAGAGCAATCAGCCAGTCTGTCTAAAACTCTTTCTTTCTTTCTCAGTGAAAGCCCAGATAGGAATTTCAACCTGATAACATTTCATTTGAGAAGGTCAACAGATGGTGCAAATTATTGAGTGAAATGAGTTAGGAGCCTGGGAAATTCATTCTGGCTCAGCCCCAACCTGCTCTGTGGCCCTGGAGTGATACTTGTACCTCTCTGAGCCTCTGCGTCCCCATCTCCCTTACACCCTTGGGGCCAGTGGGGAGATAACATGTAAAATAGGCTCCCCTCAAGGAGAAGCTGGGGCAGGTTCTAGACTCCTGGATTTTCCTGGGCTCCTGGTAGAAGCGAGAGTGTTTGCTTTCTGTGGACTGCGAAGGGGCTTCAACCCTCGAGCATAGGGTCTGTGGCTCACGAGGCCACTTACTCGGCCAGCTCTGAGGGCCCTCGGGGACTGAGAGCGTGACCCTCTCAGGTACCGCCCCCGGGTGGGAGCCACCGGACGATCCAGACACAGGCTCTGAGTGTTCACATCCAGAGGTCTCCCCATCTCCACGCTTCGTGGCAGCGAAGACCCAGACGAACCAGTCGGGGAAAAAAGCTTCGGCCTCCGTGGTCCGATGCGCCACCCTCTTACACCGCACCCCTCCAGCCACCCAAACCCAGACGTTCCGCACTCCAAATTCAGGATCTCCGGCAAGCAAGGCAACCGCAGGTACCAATGGCCTATGTCACCCCACACTTCTTCCACTCCCTGCACTTCACCCACCTGCCACAGCTGTGCCCTGGGTCATTGTTCCCTTGCAGGAATGAGAGTGGAAGTCCCCTAGTTTTCTGGGACGAATCTGGGTCCTAGCTGTACCTCTGGCTGGCCCTCTGACTATGGCGAGCCACCTAACCTCTCTTGAGTCTAGACTTTCTTTCCCAAAATTAGAGGGTTGTACAAGATAATTTGCAAACTTTAAAAAAATAAAATAGAATATTTTTTCCCAAGTCATGGCCAAAGGTGTTTATAAAAACGTTTTTAATTCATTGCCAACATTTGAACATTAAGAGATTTTTATGTAAAACTTGATTTCTAGCTGGCATTGAAAAGTCAGATCTGGCAGTTCTGGGCCCACTTTCCTGCAGGACGACAATTGGCTTGGGGCTGAGTCACAGCTGTCTCTTTTCATAGAGCATGTGTGCTCCAGTTTTCCACAGTCCGCACCACTCCCTCCTGCCTCCTCAACATAATGGCCATGTGGCAGGTATCATTCCTCATTGTGATCACACTGTTGTCTGTCTTACATCCAGCTCAGTTCATTCATTCACATCACCTGCCTGACCCCTCTTGGCATGAGATTGAATCCCCCGTCTTTCAGAAAACCCAATCCAAAAACTCATTTCTATGACGAGCTGCTCTCCTTGAAGCAGAGTGGTTGACCTGGAGCTCTGTTCTCTTGGCCTCTACCTAGTACTACCCGTAAAATCACTACATGAGCCGTAGCCCAGCAGGAGACCGAGGGATGCCAGCTCCAGTGTTTTCTGTGTTCGTGCACAAAGGGGCTCAGACTCCAAAACAGTGAACAGGCAGTGATAAGTTCACAGCAGCATTTCCCCCGGGACAACTGATAAGATGTGCTATGTCCCAAGTTGTCAGGAATCCTGATTCATACCCGGATGGGATGAACTTTGGGCCCCAAGCCTGAATATGTGGGACACAGGGTAGAGAGATGATGTGGTCCCTCTGGGACTGTGGGTCTTTCACTTGCTTTCAAGAGACCCACAGCCATGCATTAAATATACAAGCGATCAAATGGAGAACTGGGTTCAATGACCCAGTAAAGTGGACCAGTGGCATAGCCAAGTGACGAGCTGTGCTTGCCTCTACTCTTTGGTTCAGGAGGTTCCTTTTGGGCAAGGATGTGTTTCTTAAAAATGTCTGAAGATATGCTTGTTGTGCTTCGATCTCCCAAAAGGAGAGTAAGTAGTTAATCAACCTTGAAAGTAATGGCTTTTCAGGTACTGTTTTGAGAAAAGCCAATAGCCGTTGTATTTTTGCAACAATAGTCATAAATTGGTTAGAACCAGACTGGTCATCATGGGCTCGTTGCGGGTAGATGTTGGCTCAACTAATTAACTGCGAGATCATGGCTTTCAGATCTTGTTTTTTACTCTTGACCTTGGGGCTGGGAGTTTTTACATCCATAGTTTCTGCAGAGACCTGCCTGCAAGGGGCTGTGTGGTTTGGGGCGGCTCTCAGACCTCAGTGTCCCCAAGTAAGCATCCAGCAAGCTAAGGGTCTTGCCTCTGGCTGCCTTTCTGTGACTTGGAAGACTTGGGGCGGGGGTGTCACACTTGAGTTTACCAGGTGGGCAGGGCAGAGGATACCAGGTTGCAAGCAGGAACCTGCGTGTTAGAGCTGGAAGTTGTCACTGCCCTTGTCATGCCAGAATAGGCAACTCTTCCTGTGTGGGTGTGCGGGATTTCACCTACGGTACTGCCCACTAGTCTGCAGCCACAGGGCCTATGGCAGGGATAGCTGATCAAAATTTGCGTTGTCAACTGAGTAATAGGAAACTAATTATAACCTCAGTTGTCCTAAGTTGGTTAGGTTGCACAAAGATCCTCCAAGACAGGTCAGCATCCCCCTGTGTACATAAGGATTAAGATGGAGAAAAGAATCACTTGTTAAAAAATGAAGCATTTGCCTGGAGAATGACGTCTGCTTATTCTGCTATCTTAGAGGGTTAGCCGCGTATCCAGCCCCAGGAACTTGATGACCTCACTCGCCTCTGTTTTTCACTTGTAAAATTCAAATGACAATGTGGACCTCACAGAGCTATCAGGGAGGATTTAGGGAGACCCTGGGTGTAAGGTGTCTGGGTTAGTGCCTGGCACATAGTAGGTGCTCAGTAAATGAGGGCCCCCCCCTTCTTCTAGACAAAGAATTGAGGGGCTTTGCCAATTTACAGATGGCATCTTGAAGGAGGCCAGCGTGTCGCTCTCTGTCCAGGCGTCTTGCAGACACGATTGTGCTCATGATGCTGGGGACAGCCTCTGCAAAAGGAGGCTGCGTCAGGAGGCGCTGTGGGGGCCGGGGCAGTGAGCAGGGCCTGTAGGAGCCGCCTCTGGTTTTCTCTCGCATCAGTGATCATTAGGAACCCCCGCCCCCACGGTCTGAGCACTTGCCCTTCGGGCGTGGGATGGACTGGGTGACAAGTGGCATTTCGCAAAGTGGGTTCCTGAAATCACCATTTTTGAGGAATATTAAGGAATCTGATATTTTAAAAATGGGCTTCGGGGACCACATACATTTGGGAAGGCTGGGTTAGATAAAGCTAAATGGGCCTCTTTCTGGTCACACTCCTCCGAGCCTTTGATATCCTTCTGTGAGTTTTTTCTCCTTAAGAAAGGGGCTAGGTTGGCTTCTCATTCCAAGTTGACTTGTTCCCTGAAGAGCATCTCGCATCCCTGTTGTGCCAAGAGCAGCTTGGAAAAGCCAAGTTACCTTCCAGCTTGGATATTCTGTCTCAGTACCTTCTGCCGGTGGGGGTGAGAATGAGGCCTAAATTGGTGTTTTCCCACTTGTTGGACCCTATCTCTACCCTCTGGGGTTTCCAGGAGAGGGTGAACCACTCAGGAAAGTGCCATCTGTAAGTGGGATGCCCCAGAAATCTCTCAGGAGCCAGTCCCTTCCCCGGGGTGAACGCTGACCAGACCTCACTTGGTCTTTGGCCTCCCAAGGTGTGGGGCTGCCTCAGTTCTGCCTGTCACGCCTTCTTTCCCAGGGTGCTTCCCTGCCACCCCGGGACCGACCTCTCGGCTTGTGGAATTGGAATGAACTGGCCTCCTTCTCCGCCACAGCCGCCGTTAGGAGACAGTCTCATCATCCTCCCTGCTCCTTTGGGGGCCTGTGGCAACAGAATCTGGCAGAGGGAGTAGTGGGGGCAGGTCCAAATTACCCAGTGTCACAAATGTGGCTCCCCAGGGGCCAGAGATGGGAGGTCCAGGCCCATTTGCCATCTGCTCACTCAGCTGGATTTCGTTGTGTGCTCTTGGCCAGGTCATCCACACATCCCGCCATGTCTGGACTTCCACCCACTCTAGCACTGTCAGGAGGGTCTCTTGGAGCCCTGACAAGGTATCAGGCAACTCAGGTGAGCCTGAGGAGCTGGGGCATCTGGTTGGGGTCCTGGAGTCCCTCACTGCTGGTTCCCCCGGCCCAGGGGCCCCCGCCTCTGAGCGGCATCTGGCATGCCCCCCTTTGGACCTCGTGCTGATGAATCACCATTTTCTCTTGCTCTCTCCTGTCCCCCACCCAGCAGAAAGTGCTTTCAGTCGGAGAGTAGAAAGCAAAGCACAAAACCACTTTGAAGAGACGAATAGCAGCTCCCAAAACTCCAGCGGTGAGTGTGCCCCATGACAGCTGCCCTGTGCTGTGGCTGCTGCCTCCATCTCCCACTTGTAGCAGGCGCTTTGTGGGCCGGGGTCTTCATGGTGCATGATGGTGGTGTTGGGAGGGGGCGGGGGCAGGGAATTTGGAGGCCAGGGCTGGGCAGAAGCTCAGGGGCCTTTTCTTCCAGGAACATCTCTCTGGGCTTCAGGGGGCATCTCTGGGACTGTGGCCCCTTTTTGTCCTTTCCCATGGAGAGAGGAATCCCCCTGCCCCATTGCCTGCAACGCCCACTAACGTGGCTCTAGAGCATTGGGCCTAAAAGAGCCATTGCTATGTTTTTTAGGGTAAACATTGTAGCCAGTTTCTTTCCAGGAGAGGCAAAGGGGGTGCAGTAAAGAAAGCGGTGGCCTAATAGCCAGAGGCCCTCAGTTCTGGCCCCACTTAGGACCAGGGACCATCCAAAGTTTCCCTTCCAGCCCCCACCAGCCAAGGTTTGCCTGAAGTTCCTTGTGGTGTTTTGGCGCCCCCTGGTGGCCGCCTCCCACAGGATGCGGGCAGAGCCTAGAGTTTAGCGTGCCTTAGAAAAGAGCAGCAAAAAGCGACTGTCCCCCCACCCCCTCCTACCCAACCCTCCTCTCACCACCCCTGACAGACCTAGGTCAGCCTGCAGGGCCACGGGTGGTCACCAACAGCCTCTATCTGAGAAAGGCACAGTGACAGCCAGGGCAGGAAGGGAAAACAATTCTGACACTTTTGTTATATTAAGGTAAGGCACCCACTCACTCTCTTGCACGGTTGAGGTTTCATTCACCATATTAGGTGTTGGCTTGTGCCCAGCACGTCCTGGGCACTGCTTGGGTATAGACAGATGATGAAACAGCCAGGAGCACAGGCGTGAACATGGAGGTTCCTGTGTAGTAATCTGAGCTCCAGCTCCCATCTCCAGCTGAGGTTCGAACCCCGGCTCTGCTGCCTGTGAGCTGGTGACTCAGAGTCCAGCCTCTTAATTCGTCCTCTGCTCTAAAGTGAGAACAGCACACATGTCCCTGTGCTGGTGAACATTCAGTGAGTGTCCTGCATAAATTAAGTAAACCAAGTGATATGCTGAGTGCCCTGAGCAAAGGAATGAGGTGTGCTGTGGGAACCCCAAGAATGTTGACACGATCTCGTAAAGTGTAGGTAGCGAGCGTATCTATTGACTTGTCCAAGCTGCTTCACCCTCTGAGACATGGGCCTAAAAAGGATGGACTTCTGCCCAGTGGCCACACAGGAATAAGTAGCAGATCCAGGACTGGACCCACGGTCTCTTGGGAGCCTCTGCTGCCAGCCTCTCCTTCTACCCGAGCTCATATTCAGGACTGGGAACCACGGTGTCAAGTGCAGCCCCATTTACTGAGCGCTTACCATGTGCCAGGCGTGTGTTCAGAGCTGTGTGCGTCTTACCTGTTTTCATCCTTACCACAGCCCCGAGGGAAACGGGGTCAGTGTTATCACCACTTTTTGGATGAGGACGCGGAGGCTCAGGAGAGGTTCTTTGTTGCCCCCACGTTACCAGCTTGAAGCGGTGAAGCCAGGATTCCCGGCCTGGTCCATCTGGCCCCGCTCTGCTGCCTCCCGCACCTGAGGCTCACCTGACAACACCAGAAAGCGTGGGGAGAAGTTCCATCAGGCAGAGCCCTTAGAAGCACAGCCCTCGCTGTAGCTGCACTGGTGCTTGGTGCCAAGCACCCCCCATCCCGGTGCCGGGGCCTAGAAGCAGCTTTCTGCCCCGAAGCGGGCAGCCACGCATGGGCATTTTCTCCTTGTGCTTTGTGGGCTCACCTTTTGAGCGTTGAGCGTGCCCTAGAGGGATGGCCCTGGCTGATGGTGCCCTGCCCCGTACCCCAGCGCCCCCCCCCCGAATCTGATGCTTCCTCTCCTCGGGGAGCCCCACCTGGCTCTCTACTTATTCAGAGTGGAAATAACGACAGTCATCTCAGAGCACCAGGACTGGAAGAGACTTAGCTAAACTGTTTCTCTTTTGCAGAAACTGCAAGTCCCCTGGTTTCCAATACTTTCCCTCTCCTGCAGAGTAAGTGGTGGTCCCATTGGGGGGGCTGGCGAGGGTGAGGCAGGACAGGGAATGGACTCCGCTGGCCACACGCTCTTGGGGCCTCCCCAGAGCATCTGACCTTGGGCTGCCCTTCCAGGCAGACCAGGCAGCTGGTGGGGGCAGGAGGAGGACCCAGCTCCAGGCGGGTGGAGGAGTTTGGACGTGGGACGGGGCCAAGCCCTGACCGTGGGCAGCCCGCCTCTGCCCACCCCCAGCCCTGGCAAGAACACAGACTTCCCCACTCCTGTTCACGGTGGTAGCCTCGGACACCTCTTCTGGCCCCGTGTCAGCCATCTACCTCCGCTCTTTCTCTTACCCTCCGTGGCACCCCTTCTCCTTCCTCCGTCATCTCTATGCCAGGCACCGACTGGAGTGCTGGGAACACGGAGATGGACGACAAAGGTCATGGGCAGACTTGTTCCCGTTCCTACGTGTGCTCTCAGTATCCCTTCCCTCGCCTCTTCCCTTTCTGCATCTTATCCAGCTTGCTCTTGCTTTTCTATGGCTTTCTCTGTTTTTTTACCCTGTTCTCTTGTTTCTTCTTCCCCTCCCTTTCCTGCTCTCTGTGTCTGTTGCCTTGTTTTTGGTTCATTCATACATTCATTCATTTGTTCACTCAGCAAACAGTGACGCCGTGTGCTTCCACAGGCAGAGAGATGGGCTGTGGCACCAATAAGACGCGGTCTCTGCCTAAGAGAGCTCCTGGTCCATTAGTGCTGTCCTCCCCAGCCCTTCCCCAGTGCCCAGAACAGTGCCTGGCACACAGTAAGCACTCAATAAATAGCTGCCTGACTGCATTAGATGGTCTCTTGATCTGCACGCCTTCCTCTCTCCATCACTCCTTCCTCCCCCCAGCCTCTCCCACACTAGTTAGCAACGGGGACAGACAGGCTGGGCCCAGAGTCCCAGTGTGTGTTTGGGTTCCCAGTTCCCAGTGTGCCCAAAGCGCAGCAGAAAGGTGTCCAGTGTTGCTCTGCCCCTGAAACGACTGCCTCATTCTTTCCCCTAGAACCTTACACCTGTGGCGCCTGTGGGATCCAGTTCCAGTTCTACAACAACCTGTTGGAGCACATGCAGTCCCATGCGGGTAAGGGGCCCAGCGGCCCCCCAGTGATGCTGCAGCCCTCCCTTCTCCCTTTCCTCAGACCCTGCAAAAGGCAGAGATGGCGGAGCCAGCCCGAGACCCCCAGGGAAGGCCATTCCTCCACAGGAAATGGTCACAGGACGTGGGAGCTGCCCTCAGGGAGCCCCAGTCAGTCGGTTATAATATGGGGGGAGGTCTGTCCTCTGGGGGGACAGCGGGCTTGGTGGGAGCACAGAGAGTGGGCGTGGAGTGAAGAAAGGCTTCTAGAAAGTTGTGGCTCCTGTGCTGAGCCTGGAGGCCAAATAGGAGCTGACCAGGAAGGAAGCGTCAAGGTGGGAATTGAGTGTGGTTTGACATGAGTGTGCACAGATGTGCGTGGGGAGGCGTCAGCCCCATCTCAGCAGAGTCACATTCATGGTGACACTGTCCCACAAAGCAGCTATCCCTAAACTTAAGCAGGCGTCAGTCACCCTGAATTTCAGATTCTGTAGGTCTAGGGTGTGGCCTAGGATTTGCCAGGGGCCATACTTTGAGAACCACTGCTGTGGAGCTACAGGCTAGTAGTAGTCTGCTCCCGCCGTAACCTTTTTATCAGCTGTTTTGCCATCTTTCCAGCTTGCATTAACCAGCTCCCTCACTCTAGACCATCAAACACATACCTCCGATGTTAGGTTTTTGTGACTGTAGCACCCCACTTTGGGTCTAATTTTTGTTTTAGTCAGGGAGACACTATTTGCTGTAGCAGATAAATCGAAAATTCTCAGTGGTTTTAACATAATCATTTCTTTCTCAGTCACATCACAGCCTAATGCAAGTGGCCTGGTTGGGTGGCCTTCCACATGGTGATTCAGGGACCCGAGGTCCTTCCTTTGTGTGACTCCATCCTCCCCTGGGTCTTCAGGAGCCTGCCTCTGTGACTGGTGGGCGGGGAGAGAAGCACCCTTTGCTTTTTACCTCTTTAGGTGACAAGTGACACATGTCATATATGCCCAAATTCCAAGGGCAGGAAAAATGCCCAGAGCTGCTACCCAGAGACAGCCCAACACTCTGCAAAGGCAAACAGGAATCTGGGGGAGGCAGCTAGCTGTCCCTGACACCCCTCCCTCAGAGTAATCCTCTGGAGGCATTGGAAATGATGTAAGAAAAGTACCGGACACGTGCTGGTTCAGTAATGGTCGGGTAGCTGCTGTTATTTCTACTGTTATTATTATTATTATTATTGCTTGTACCTCTCTTAGGCTCACAAATCTTTCATATAACCTTCCTGGCCTGACCTGACTAGCACAGAGTAACACAGGGCTAGACTCTTTAAGGCTAGGTCCTGCTCTGTTAGCGTGACCTCCATTCATTCATTCATTCATTCATTCGGCATCTAATTATTGGGTATCTGCTGTAGGGTAGGCACTAACTCACATGGTCTTTTGTGGAGCCTATTATTTATTTCTAATGGACTTATTAAAATCAGGACAGAGTTGGATTGGCAGCCAAGACATGCGAGCTCCCCTCCCCGCTCTGGCGTGCCTCCGTGCCCTAGGACCTCGGGCTGGCACCTTTGTCCCCCCCTCTAGGAGTCTTCATTTCTAACACAAGGGCACCTAAACCTGCTCTCTCCAGCTGCCTTCCTCACCCCACGGTTCCACCTACACGTGTCTCACCTCCCACTTTGCTTTGCCGTTACCCATCCTGCACCAGGGAAAGCCTTAAATGCCAGCTCAGGGCACTTAGACCTGAGCTTATGGGGAACAGTGACAGAAACTGGGAGGCTGCTCAGGAACCCCTGCCTGAGCACACTGGGACTTTCACAGACCAGCCCCCTCACCGCTCCTCCTCCTGCTCTGAAACCCCAGTCCTCTACTTGTGCCTCCTTCTGCCAGCTTCTGGAAGCTGAGGCTAATTAGGGAAGAGTCTGGGTGCCTGTCCCTCCCTGTCCCTCAGGCAGTTGGGCAGAGGCCATTAAAATGCAAATCAAGGCTGAACCTTGTGGTGGCCCCACCGCCCCCAAGCATCTCGACTTGTTTTCCACGAAAAGCTTTGGGCTGCTTTGTTCTGGTCCAGTGCTGGCAGAGAATGCAGGAGGCAATCCAGTGCAAATCCAGGCTGAATCCCAGCCAGGCTGAGTTGGGATTAAAGGATTGACTCCATAGAGAGAAATTAAGCGTCATGATCTGCGCAGTTCACAGTGCTGCTGATAAGGGGGATCAGCCTCGAATAACACCAATCTCATTAAGCGGCTGCTGAATGGCACAGGGTAATTCCCGCTAATAAACTTCTTTTCTGCGCTGTAGGAGAACCTGCCTTGCCTGTGGTAACAGTTCAGGAACGCATTTTGGCAGTGATAATACTAAAGACAGCTCACATTTAATGATCGATTAGTGTGTATCAGGTGTGGTTCTATTCATCAGATCTCCTGCGCAAGCCTGTTAGCTAGCTGACGTTATCATCCCGTAGTACAGATGAAGAAACTGAGGCTCAGAGAACATAATCGCTGGCCCAGAGTTGCACAGCTGCTAACATGGTTTGAGCTCTTACTTGGTGCCAGGACTTATTCTGGGAGTTGTACACATATTAGCTCACTTAATCCTCAGAACAGCACTCTCATATTAGCTCCATGTTACAGATAAGGAAATTGAGGCACAAAATGGCTAAGTAACTTGCCCAAGGCTATGCAGTCACAGTGTCAGACCAGGATTCCAACTCTCTCAGTGAACTCCAGAGCCTGTGCTCCTAACTACCACCCTGTTCAGCCAGGTAGATGGGGTGGAGGGTTAGCAGAGGCAGAGTCCCCTCAGACGTCATTCCTGCCAGCGCCTTTCTAAAGTACCTTGAGGAGGACCATAACCAGGAGAGCCATGGGGACTTGCCCAGGCGGCAAACAGGTTGGCAGTTGCAGTTTAGGATTTTGGAATGGCCACACCTGAGTTCTTAATCCCCCTGAGCCCATTCACCTCTCTGGGTCTCAGTCTTCTCATCTGTAAAGGGGGCTAACCAGCGCTCCCACAGGCTGGGTGAGGGTTCTGGAGATGACATGTGAAGTATTCGGGGCCGTGGCACATTCTAAGATAAGACCGGACAGCAAAGGGGCGTATTTTCCATTTGCCTCTGCCAGAAACAACCGCTTTCTCCTTCCTACAGCAGTCTGTCCCTGATGACAGCCTTTATTCAGCTTTAAATCCTGCCCTTCACGGATGTGTATGTGTGTGTGCGTGTGCATGTGTGTTACGTACTGATAGCTACATTGAGTAAACCTTATTTCCAGCTCAAGCTATAAATCAAGCCTACTCACAGAGCATTTACTCAGTACCTCACCCATTCAACAGCAGTATCTGAAATAGGAGAAAAAAAATTGTTTTAATCAACCAATACTAGACATTGTTATCTACTGTTAGGTTGAGGAATCTCTATTCCCAGTTCTGTAAAGTCAGAGAATGAGGAAATCACCCTGCAGCTTGCCCTGTCCTGGCATTTTAGAGAGGGGAGGGGAAACTGAGCCCCAGAGAGTTAAAGTGTCTAACTCAAGGTGTCATGAATGGGACGGGACTATCAGAGTAGCAGTCTCACACACGTTTGTGTCTTTCCACAATGCCAGACTTTATTAGAATAAAGCCATGGATCTAGTCCTCCTGACTCGGCTTACCATGGGCCTTAACCAAGGCTCTGGCCAGGGGATAGCCTCCAGTAGTCAAGGTAGAGCGGTTTCACGTGAGGGTCACACAGGTTTGCAAGCAGTAGGGTTAAGCAAGGTGAACAGTCTTATGAAAGAAAGATGAGAGAGAGTCCTGTGTTCAGCGAGAGTCCCTATGGTGCTGGGGTGTATAGTGTTGGGCGTCAGGCCCGGCAGGTGAGACAGTCAGGATGCGAGGCTTCAAGTGCTCCATCTGGGACGAGGGCAGGTGCAGCTGTCAGCTCGTCATCTGAGGCTTGAGCGATGGATGAGCTGTCAGAGAGCTCTGATTTTATGCTCAAGAGTTGGTGCGGTGCCCCCATCTACAGTCTGATAAAGCCGTCCAGGTGGTCACACTCCACCCTGCGTCTGGAGTTACCTGGTTAGGGCGTTCACTGGGTACGCCTTTCACAGGATGCTCGGGCATGGTGGTCACTTTGTGACTGACATAGCTATCAGAATTATTAGAGTCCATTTTGTGTTCATAATTAATGCTCTGTACATGAGTTTATACCGACAGCCATGAGAGAGCCAGATTCAAATCCAGGGCTTTCAAATCCCTGTACTCCAATGGAGAAAGTTAACAAGAATGGCTGCTGGTTTTCATTTTAAAATTGTGCTTCTCCTTTTTAAATGTAAAATCTGTTCATTAAAAGAAATTGGAAAAATGTAGAGAAATTAGGAAATGAAGAATCAGCCATAGACGCACTACTGAAAGCTAACCACCATTGCTCTTTTAATGTGTTTATTTTCAGTCACTTAAAAATTGGATTTATTGAGCTATAATTTGTAGAAATAAAATTCACCCATTTAAGAGTACAGTTGGAGAGTTTCAACAAATGTATACAGTCATTGACTCACCATCACCATCAAAATATATAATATTACCATCAACCTAAAACATTCTCTCTTGCCTCTTTGCAAACCGTTCCTTCCTTCACCCCAACCGTGGCAGCCGCTATGTGCTTTCTTTCACAATAGTTTTTTTTTACCAAATTTTATATAAATGGAATTAACCGGTATTTAGTTGTTTGTGTCTGACTTCTTTTACTTAGCACACTTTTGAGATTCATCCATGTTGCTCTGTGTTATTGGCAGTTCCCCTTTTTATTTCTGAGTAGTAAAGCATTGTCTGTACCACAATTCGTTCATCTATTCACAAACTGATGGACATTTAGATTGTCTCCAGGTTGGGGCTACTATGAATAAACCTGCTGTGAATATTCAAGTACAAGTCCTTGTGGGGACATACGTTTTTAACTCTGTGGGTGTATACCTAGGAGTGGAAGTGCTGGGTCGTATGGTAACTCTATGTTTACCCATTTGAGGAATTGCCAGACTGTTTCCTAAAGTGGCTGTACCAATTTTACATTCCCACCAACAGTGTACAAGGGGTCTGATTTCTCTATATCCTTGATGGCTTATTATCTGATTTTTTTTTATTATAGCCATCCTGTGTACGTAAGGTGGTATTTCATTGTGATTTTTATTTACATATTCCTGGTAACTAGTAATGTACAACATCTCTGCATGTGCTTATGAGCCATTTGAATATCTTCCTTGGAAAAATGTCTATTCAGATCATTTTCCATTCTTTAATTGGTTTTGTTTTGTTTTGTCTTTTTATTATTGAATTGTGAGTGTCCTTTACATATTCTAGATACAAGACCTCTATAGATGTATGATTTGCAAATATTTTCTCCCATTCTTTGGGTTGCCTTTTTATTTTCTGGATGCTAGCCTTTGAAGAGCAAAAGTTTTTAATTCTGATGAAATCCATTTGTCTATTTTTTTCTTTCATTGTGTATGCTTTGGGTGTGAATACCTAAGAAACCATTGCCTAACCCAAGATCACAAAGACTTAACTCATTTTCTTTTAGAGTTTTATAGTTTTAGCTCTTACATTTATGTCTATATTCCATTTTCAGTTAATTTTTACATGTGGTGTGAGATAGGGGTCCTTTTTCATGTGGATATACAGTTGTCCTCGCACCATTTTTTTTTTCTCCCAGGAATCAAACACAATTTATTTTAGAACTAAACAGGACAGAATGACTAACAAAGTTGTATCCTAAACTTTTCCGAGAGACATCTTCTCCCCAGGCTCCATGTTATTTATTCATTTTTACAGTCCTATCAGTGGCCTTCATAACATTCACAAAGCATGTACTAATTCTGTTATTTGATTTGAGGAGTCAAGTTTGACAATAACAACTTTTCCATTCTTTGTGCTTTCGAACAATTCTCATACTCCCAGCTGCTAACTCATCAATTAAAATTTTCTTCTAAAAATCACTTAGAGCAAGAGGGTCATTTATACATATTCAAAACAAGAACCATTTCTCCAGTGTCCACGGAGGGAAAAACTGACCTGACCAAACAGAAGAAAAACTGTTTCCTATTTTGGCTTCTCTGTTTTAATGGGCAGGAAAAAAAAATCCCTTGTTGTTTTCATCTCAGTTTCAACATAATAGTGTCAATATCCTTTTCTTCCTCTGAATCTTGATCTGGCATCCAACATTGATCTTTTACATTCAAAAAAATGAATATTTCAAAGCTTTGCAGTTTCCTTCCTTCAGACACTGCCGAGGGGATTTTCCTTCCCGGAGCGCACAGTCCGCCTGCAGCCGACCTGCGCCCAGGTCACCCTCCTTCACGCCCGCGCACGCGCCGCTCTCCGGCTGGTTCTCATAATACCGGGGCATGGCTGCGCCTCCCGCCCTCCGCCGCCCCGACTGCTGCTGTCCGCAACAGCAGCAACCCGGCTACGCGCGAGCAAAGCCTGGAGGAAAGGACCGGAAACTGGCGTCAACAATTTCCGGCCCTAGCACCATTTTTTTGAAAAGACTTTTCTTACCCCCATTGAATTTTTCTGGCACCCTTGTCGAAAATCAGTCGACCATAAGTGTGAGGGTTATTTCTGGGTTCTGAATTCTATTCCATCGATCCACAGGTCTGTCCTTGTACCTCCAGTCCCACACTGTCTTGATTACTGTAGCGTTGTAGTAGTTTTGAAATCAGGAAGTGGGAGCCTTCCAACTTTTTTCTTGTTCAAGGGTCTTTTGACTATTCTGCATCTCTTCTAGTTCCACAAGAATTTTAGGATCAACTTGACAATTTCTATTAAAAAAGTCAGTAGGGCTTTTGATAGGGATCGTGCTGAAACTAGATCGGTTTGGGTTTTTTGCTCTGTTTTGTTTTTTGCCATTTTAACAATATTAAGTCTTTCAGTTCATGAACGTGGAATGTCTGTATTTATTGAAGTCTTCTTTGAGTTCTTTTAGCAGTGTCATTAGTTTTCAGTGTACAAATCTTGCACTTCTTTTGTAAGTTTATTCCTAAGTATTTTATTCTTTTGGACACTATTATAAATGGAATTATTTTCTTAATTTAATTTTTGGAGTGTTCATTTGCTATTGTGGAGAAATATAATTGATATATGAATACATTGTTACCTGCAACCTTGCTGAACTCATTTATTTAGTAGTTGTGTGTGTGTGTATTTTCTATATAGAATTTTCTATACACACACTATGTCATCTGAAAATAGAGATAATTTTACTTCTCTTCCATTGTAATCTAGATTTTTTTTTCCTAATTGCCCTGGCTAGAACCTCTAATACATGTTGAATAGAAGAGATGAAAGTGAATATTCTTTCTTGTTCCTGATCTTAGGGGAAAAGCTTTCAATGTTTAACCATTAAGTATGGTATTAGCAGTGGGTGTTTCATAGATGCCCTTTATCAGGTTGAAAAGAGCTCCCTTCAATTCCTACTTTGTTGAGTGTTTTTATCATGAAAAATGTATTGGGTTTGTCAAATACTTGTTCAGCATCTATTGAGATGATCATGTGGTTTTTGTCCATTCTGTTATTAAGGTATATTACATTGATTTTTAAATGTTGAACCGACCTTTTATTCCTGGAATAAATCACACTTAGTCATGATGTATAACCTGTTACATATATATAGCTGAATTTGGTATGCTGTGTTTTATTGAGGATGTTTGTATCTATATATGGGATAGTGGGCTGTAGTTTCTTTTCTTGTAATTTCTTTGTTTGATTTTGGTATTATAATAATACCTCATTAAATAAATTAAGAAATGTTCCCTCCTCTTCTGTTTTTGGGAAGGATTTGTGAAGAGTTTCTTTAATATATGAATTTACTAGTGAAGCCATCTGAATTTGAACTTTCTTTTTCTTTCTTTCTTTCTCTTTTTCTTTTTCTTTCCTTCCTTCCTTCCTTCCTTCCTTCCTTCCTTCCTTCTGAGAGAGAGAGAGAGAGACAGAGAAATATTTTGATTACTAATTTAATTTTTTTCTATAGGTCTATTCAGATTTTGTTTCTAGAATCAGTTTTGGTAGGTTATGTCTTTCTAAGAATTTGTCTGTTTCAGGTTATTTAATTTGTTGGAATACTATTATTGTAGTATATTTCCTTATAATCCTTTTTATTTCTATCAACTCAGTAAACTTAAGTTTCCTTCTGTTCTTAATTTGCTGCGAGTTTGTGTCGTGAGTAGGTGTTGAATTTTGTCACATTTCAATGTGCATTTGGAGATTATTTCTCTTCTTTTTTCTCTTAGTATAGGGAATTACACTAGTTGGTTTTTAATTATTAACCCCAACTTGCATTTCTGGGGTAAACTCCACTTGGTCATGATGTATTATTATTTTTGCTAATATTTTTGTGTGTATATTTATGTGAGGATTGTGTGTACATTTGAGGATTTTTGTGTGTATATTTATGAGGGCTATTGTTCTGTAGTGTTTTCCTCTAGTTAGAGATGAGGGTAATGCAAGCCTCAGAAAGTGATTTTCTAGTAAATGTACTGAAAAGACAAAAAAGCCAACTTGGAAGTCGTTCTTGTCTTGTCAGCCCACAGGCCTCTTACACTGTAGTGTAACACACTGTCCCCTTTGTGCCCACAGCGGACAATGAGAACAACATTGCCTCCAACCAGTCCCGATCACCACCTGCTATTGTGGAAGAGAAGTGGAAACCCCAGGCCCAGAGGAACAGTGCCAACAACAGTAGGTCTCTCTCTGGCTGGAGCCTGGGGGACTCGTGGAGGTCTGGCTCTCGTACTCCCAGCCCCCGCTCTGGTTGTTCCCTTCTTGCCCCCCACCCCTACCACCTGTGCCTCCCATGATGATGGAAGACCATGCATAACAGTTTCCGAAGCATTTTCACCCGTAAGACCCCGTTTGTGTGAATTATGACCTCCCCAGGATAGACAGATGGAGGTCCGGGGAGAGGAGGGTGAGCTATTGTGGTCAGAGAGCACACCTTAGTGACAGAGTCAGAGCTGGAATCCACTCTTAATGGTTTCTGTTGTCTGCTCTTTCCTGACGTTGTGGCCTCATGAATTTCATTCACTAGAGATTCCTTTATGAGAGGCCATTCCCATACTGAGGACGAGATCAGGCTAGTCTAGTTGGCTTTACAAGTCTAGGTGAATGACACATGAAGGAGTACGTGACACACATACCACTATATTTTATCCCCATGAGACTCGTGTTATTTAAAGGCAGCCAGCAGCGGCAATCCGTGTGTGTCATGAAATCTGTTCATAATTCGTAATACTAGATGCTTAGAGGACTAGGCTGCTCCCAGACTGAGGATCCTCAAATGCTGGGATTAATGCCCTCTCTCCTTGTGTTCCCTGCCAGCCACGAGCAGTGGTTTAACACCCAATAGCATGATCCCTGAGAAGGAGCGGCAGAACATTGCCGAGCGGCTGCTGCGGGTCATTTGTGCCGACCTGGGTGCGCTGAGCGTGGTGAGCGGGAAGGAGTTCCTGAAACTGGCACAGACACTGGTGGACAGTGGCGCCCGCTACGGTGCCTTCTCGGTCACGGAGATCCTGGGCAACTTCAACACGCTGGCACTGAAGCACCTACCACGCATGTACAACCAGGTGAAGGTGAAGGTGACGTGTGCCTTGGGCAGCAACGCTTGCCTGGGCATTGGCGTCACCTGCCACTCACAGAGCGTGGGCCCCGACTCCTGCTACATCCTCACAGCCTACCAGGCCGAGGGCAACCACATCAAGAGCTACGTGCTGGGCGTGAAGGGCGCAGACATTCGTGACAGTGGTGACCTGGTGCACCACTGGGTGCAGAATGTGCTGTCGGAGTTCGTGATGTCGGAGATCAGGACAGTGTACGTGACGGACTGCCGGGTGAGCGCGTCCGCCTTCTCCAAGGCCGGCATGTGCCTCCGCTGCTCAGCCTGTGCCTTGAACTCGGTGGTGCAGAGCGTGCTGAGCAAGCGGACGCTGCAGGCCCGCAGCATGCACGAGGTTATCGAGCTGCTCAACGTGTGCGAGGACCTGGCGGGCTCCACAGGCCTCGCCAAGGAGACCTTCGGGTCGCTGGAGGAGACCTCGCCCCCGCCCTGCTGGAACTCGGTCACGGACTCACTGCTGCTGGTGCACGAGCGCTACGAGCAGATCTGCGAATTCTACAGCCGGGCCAAGAAGATGAACCTCATCCAGAGCCTCAACAAGCACCTGCTCAGCAACCTGGCGGCCATCCTGACGCCAGTGAAGCAGGCGGTCATCGAGCTGAGCAACGAGAGCCAGCCCACCCTGCAGCTGGTGCTGCCCACCTACGTCAGGCTGGAGAAGCTGTTCACCGCCAAGGCCAATGACGCGGGCACTGTCAGCAAGCTGTGCCACCTCTTCCTGGAGGCCCTCAAGGAGAACTTCAAGGTGCACCCGGCGCACAAGGTGGCCATGATCCTGGACCCGCAGCAGAAGCTGCGGCCCGTCCCACCCTACCAGCACGAGGAGATCATCGGCAAGGTGTGCGAGCTCATCAATGAGGTCAAGGAGTCCTGGACCGAGGAGGCGGACTTCGAGCCCGCTGCCAAGAAGCCCCGCTCTGCCGCCGGCGAGAACCCCGCAGCTCAGGAGGACGAGCGGCTGGGGAAGAACGAAGTGTACGATTACCTGCAGGAGCCCCTCTTCCAGGCCACGCCCGATCTCTTCCAGTACTGGTCTTGCGTTACCCAAAAGCACACAAAACTCGCCAAGCTCGCCTTCTGGCTACTTGCGGTCCCGGCTGTGGGGGCCAGGAGCGGATGTGTAAATATGTGTGAACAGGCACTTCTAATCAAAAGGAGGCGACTGCTCAGTCCAGAAGATATGAACAAACTCATGTTTCTGAAATCCAACATGCTTTAAGACTTGACTTCAGAATTAAAAAAAAAAAATTGTAAAAGGAAAAGAAGAGAAGGGTAGGAAAAAAAAAACACACAACACTGTCGCAAACAAAGAAAAGGAATTTAAGTTCTAAACACTGTGGACCTCATTATAAATGCCCCCTGGAAACTTAAGTGCTTTTTTTCAGTGTGTGTGTGCATGTGTGTGCACACCCGCCCCTGTGCGGACGTATCCGAGCACACATACCGTGGGTGCGGGCGTGGGGCTCTGCGCTCCTCTGTGTGGCCGCAGAAGCTTTGCGCACGCGTGCACACACATACTACCCTGGTGCATGTACCCTCGCCTGCTCATGGGCGTGTGTGCATTAAACTGGGTGTGTCAGGAAAGCTGAGTGTTCGGGAAAGAGGGAAGATGCTTCACCTCCTTTTCTCAGTAAGGGGCTTTAAAGACTCCATTTTCAGGTGTGCAGATTGGTGGAACGCTGATGTAAAGTGTTCAGGCAGCTGAAATCTGAAGTGACTTGACACTCTCTGTCCTTCACCCCGTGGTCCGCCTTTTCCCTCCATTCCCCTCCTCCAAGCCCTCCTGACCCTAATGCAGCCCCTCCACCCCGCCCCTCCCCAGCTGCCCTGCCATGGTTTCTCCAAACTGCATCAGATGGACAGTTTCTGCACTGGACTTCGTTCTTGCACCTTCAGGGCATTGAGCTGCTGCCTTCGAGACACCCTCGGGTGTAATGGGGCAGCCGCCTTAGAAACACACCTATCTATCTCCCCAAATCAGGAAAGGAGACTTTAAGAATATAAAGCTGACTTTTGGCTTTTTAATATAAGAGAGAAAAAAGACATTTTTCAGAGAAGTATAGATACTGTCTCCACTCCTTTTTTCCCCTTAACATTTCAGCAGTTCTTACCTTTTTTTTTTTTTTTGGCTTGTCTAGTTTTTTCTAATTTTTAGACTCTGCTAGGAGGCACTGAATGTCTATAACTTATGTTTTGGAGGCTTTTTAAAAAAATGGCCCTTTTTGTTCCTCAAGTCACACTGTAAACTAGCTCATCTCAGTGGTATATTCACTATCTTAAGGTTTTTATTAGCCTTCCCTGTACAGTCCAGTTTTCATGTATTTGGACAGCCAAGACCATGCACATGGCTGTGCTGTTTGGAGACCAGGAATGGGGTTGGAGTCACAGGTTTCACAGATTTGGAGTTTGGTGGAAGCCATAGGGAAGCATGTGGCTTAGGAGTTTTCCTGAATGTAAGCAGGTGACCCGCCCTCCTGGCTCATTGTGTCTGGTACTGCGAATGTCTGACTTATATACCCAGAGTGCATTACACTACTCGCCACATCACTGACACTTCCAGCTCAGCAGGGACTCCTGAGTTGATCCGTGTTCACATCCATCACACCTCAGACCCACAGCCTCTACCCCCTCCCCAGGACTCCAGGGGTTCCGGTGGTTACATTGCCCACAGCCCTGGGGTCCCCACGCAAGCCTCAGCCCTCCTTCCAGGACAGTAGTTGAGCATGGTGCCTTGTGGGCCAAACAATTGATGTTTTGGGGATGGAATGGCATTAGGCCATATTCAACTTGATGCTGTGAAAGATATTTAGACTTTTCTCTCCATGAGCAATTTAGGTTCTACACACTCAGTCCAAATGCTCAGAGCATGGCCCCTTTCCCCTCACAAGAGTTGGTTCCATCAGGATAAGCGCTCAACCCCCCACACCACCTCTCCATGAATAAAGTTCTCTCATATCCTCCGGTGCCCATGGTCGTGGGATTGAGATGGTTACACCAAGGGCTTCAGGCTGAGAAAGCCCAGCATTGTGAGGGGCCATTCGCAAAGGTACATTCTACCATCTTGGGGTTGACGGTGTCCACTCCATCCCCTCCTAGTAATAAAGCATTACTCAACTGCGAGATACCTCGACTACAAAAAGCACTGTACAACAACAGCCCTCTTACCTGGTCTGTGGCAGACGAGGACGTGAAGTTGGTTTAAAAACACTGTCCCTGGGGTCCAAGTCTGCTCACTTTGCCTCATGAAAACTAACCCTCCTAGTCGTCGACATACTGAAATGCATCAAAGTGGGCCGTTTCCACAGTCTCTGCCGTAAGCCATGGTCTCAGGAACCACCATGCCATTTCCTCTCCTGGAGAAGTTCTAGGTGTTTCTTCCACAGCATTTCCAACCTGAGGTCATGCCATCAGAAGAGCCTCCGTCTGCACGGGACAGCCATCTAATGTCACTTGCTAGAGAGTATGGGAGCAACAAGCAGACTTTTTGATGGGACCTTTGGGGGCATTCCAGAAGGTGGCTGCAGGGTTGCTGATGAGTGACAGATGCCTACTGCGAGAGATCCCTCCAGCTTTGCTTTGCTGGAGGGATCAACAACCTGGCACTTTAACCACACAAGAAGGGTCATAGCTACCCACTTTGTGTGGTCGGTGGGAGCGGAACCTTGGAGCCCAACCTCCTTCTACTTAGAGCAGAGCTGTGCTGGTGTTGCCCCGTTTTTGGACCAGTTGTTAGAAAGCAGGTATTTCACTTTCTTGCAAAGCTATTGGAGACCAAGCCCAGATATGCATTTAGAGCACTCAGCATTCTTCTCTTTAGAACACGGGATATCTGCCCTCCAGAATGAAAATTCGAGTAAGTTTTACTAAACATTAGATACCTAGTCATATGTGTCACCTCCTGTTCTTTCTTTCCACCTCAGTTCAACCCTCAAAGCTTGGCTTGCTCTGCAGGCTTGATGTGAATGCCACTGGGTAATCTGAAAGCTGTTTCCTGGGGCTGCCCATCCAGATGTGGTAACAGGGTGGTAGGTAGTCATTTCTCTCTTGCAACCTCTGGTTCCCCCAAAACTGGTGTTATCAGCAGGAAAGACTGCACCAAGCTTCCCTTGTCTGCTGTCTCACGCAGGTAATTCCCATTGTGCAAATCCTGCTGTAACGAATAGCTTAACAAATCCCAAAGATCTCACAGGTCCAGCCACTGGCCCCCTGATTTCCAGCAATATCCACCTTGTTCAAATTCTAGTTCAGCCAAAGGATTGAGGTAGGCTCTTCCAGTTCATCTCCAGGCGCCCAACCTGGCATTGATCTTCGGAAGGATTTTGTCTTCTGTTTCCCACTTCAGTGACTGCTGTAGGACTTTCCACCATAGGCCCTTGGGGACTGGCAAACCAGGTGCCATTTCTGTCTTGTTCTGAGCAGCTCAAGGTGGTTGCCTGCTGACTTGGATACAACTCATCTCAAGCCATGTGATGCCCAGGACAGAACTGGTCTTTGTTTTGATATATTCAGACCCCAGAGGAGACTCTTCAGGGGGTTTGCCCCTCACCGGAGGTCAGTTGGCTTCACCACCAAAGCCCAAGCCAAGGACCATGCCTCATGGGTGGTCCCTCAGATTTGGAACAGCCCAGGAGTCTCGGCTCTATCCAGAGCAATGGTGCCATCCCAGTCATCGTGAGTGGATGCTCTCATCCCAACACTGTTCTCCTTTCCCTATACCTCAGTCTCCCAGCTCGGCTTCCCTTCTAATGGTTGTTAGAGACAAAGAAACAAAACAGAGGAGCCACCTGCTGTGTCCGCATCAAGCCTGCCTGACCTCATGCTTGGCATTCAGAGATTGGCTCCTGGATCGGAAAAGGGTACGATGACATTGAGAAGTTATGGGTCTCCAGGATTCAAAGAGGGACTTTTTTTTTTTCTTACACCAGGTCCGTAGGCTGGCAGGTGTTCTCTCCTTCAGTTTGCGCCTTTTTCTCCTGCACTTTCAAGAAACACCAGAGAAAAACTCCACAAGGCATGTTTTCCACTGTGAAGCTGAACTTCTTCTGTCTTTAGGAGTCCCCTGTGCTTGCAGGAGGCCACCTGCTTCTACCTGGACTTGGACTAGACTCCTTAGAGAGTGGGCACCTGGAGATGTCGAGGATACAGCACACACTCTCTGGGGCCCACAGGTTCACAAGAAAGGTTTGAAATGACGTTGGGAGGTGGGTGAAGAAGGGAGGTTTCGTGAGAAGTGGCCCAGAAAGGGACAATACCTGGCTATGTTCATCATCATGGATGTGCTTGCAGACACAGGGCACAGTGGGCAGCCTCCTGCCCCACTGAGCTGGAGCAAGTTCATAGCTGTGCCCTTGCCTTGGGAACAGGGCACTGCCTGTGTCCCTGGGATGTACCCAAGGAAGGGCTCCTAGAAAGCCTGCTGCTTTAGACAGAACCGAGAGGCTAAGTAGAGCTCAGGCTGTTCCCTGGAGACTGGGTGGGGGGCTCTTACTCGACCCCCGCCAACCTCACCCCAGCCTCTTGTACCCACCTGGGCCAGCGGGAGAGCTGGGACAGGGCCTGCCCCTCTCTTCACTGTGGCTAATGTTTGCTAGGCCAGTTATGGTGAACCAATGATACAGTGTTTTTCCCTCTTATGTTTCCCTCCCAGTTTCCCCTCTTCAGGGTTTTCTGGAGGATTTTGTTGTTGTTTTTCTTTGTCTCTCATTTGGGTTTGAGGATTGTTGTCAGTAGAGGCCTACCTTTTTGTGAAGGGGCCCTGTGGTTACTGTGCGAAAAGGTCCCTGCTTCCGTTTTGATGAGGGTGAAGATCTTTAGGTTGCTGTTTGTATATCCACGCCCCCACCGCCGCCACCACAGTGTTGCTTTAAAGATGCAACTCCTGTACAGAGAACAATCTGCTGGGTTTGCAGTTGGGCGTCAGCATCAGGACCCTTGAGGGTTCTACCCATCCATATGCGTTCCACTGGGCACCTTGACTCTTCAAACCAAAGTTCCTTATAGGGGCACAGCCCAGCCTTGACCGCAACCTCAGGGGCCTGGGGACCCCTGTGGTGCTTCCTGAAGTCCAGCTTGGCAGAGACCTTGAGGTCTGAAACCAGCCAGAAGGAGGTGCTCCTCCCACAAGCCAGGTGCCCGCCAATCCCTGCCTGGGACCCTCCCACCCAGCCCAAGTAGCTGGGATCCCAAGCAGTGAGCAAGCTCATGGACTGGCATGGGGCTGGGACTCACCAGGCAGGAGGCAGAGGGACCGGTGGGGCTGGAGGCTCTCAGACCCACCGGGCGTCATGTCCAGGGCCATTCAGAACCCAGGCATCAGGAAATCGTTTTGTACAACCACCTGAAGCAGAGATATTTTTTAAAAAATATAAATTATTTTCAGTTCTCTTCTGATCCTGCCTTTTTCTTTTCCCCCACAACTTCACATCGGTGATTCTTTCACATCAGGTAAATCGAGAAAGCCTTGGTGCCCCCTCCCTCCTGTGCCCCACTCAGTAACCACGTGTGTGCACCACCACCCCCATCCTTTCTCAGTAGTTAAGATGTTCTAGGCAATACCATAGGCACATGTGACTGTGTCTCGAGTGCAAGAAACTCAAGTCATCTTAAAAAAATACAAAAAAAAATTTACAAAAAAACAAACACAAAAAAATATCTTTTTTAGGCCAGAGTTTTCTACAGGTATTAATGAATATTTTTCTTAATCCTTATAAGTTTTATGTGTTTAATATTTCTTAATACCGGTAGCATTAATTTATACTTTTGTAGCAACACAATATTTTTATAAACAGCCAGTGCTTGGCTCAAGTCTCCACAAGGGGTTTATGCAGGGCCATCTTGGGACCCTGTGTACCATGTACTGTATTTAAAAAAAAAGTTACCTAGTGTCACCCTTGCTGTGTTAATTAACAAAAGACGTTGTTTGCAGTCTCCTGTGTCAGTGTGGATCCAACAACTTGTGGATCCAACAGCTCTGCAAGGAGTCACATTGCATGGGGGTTGAGTTGATGGTTCTTGTGTGATGTGTAAGCCCCCGAGACCAAACGAGGGTTTATTTAAGGGTTTCTGTTTGTCCTTTGGGTTTTTTGTTTCACTTTGTTTTGGTACCGTTTCTCCATTTACAGCGAAATCAGTTTCGTGATGTTGAAAACTTTTACTGATGTCATATGGAGGAAAGGACCAGAAAAAAGAAAAGATTTTTACAAAGTAATAAAATTTAAAACTGAGCTGTTTAAATGTTGCTGTTTTTACCTGTTTGTTCTTGTCTGAAAGTGGGACATTCCCAGGGAGAAGAGGAAGGTTCCACTTGGTTCTTTAAATCGCCAAAAGCCCCAGCCCAGAATTCAGAACCCCTCTACCCCATGAATTCTTGCAACATTATTTCCCAGTTGGTTGATGCCAAGGCAAAAAGACATCCTTTTTAACGGTTAGAGGATCAGTTGGTTAAATGATTTCATGTCAGTGTTGTATTTATGGTTTTACAATAAAACAACCTTTAGAAAGATGGCAGTGTGTGATGTTATTTCTTGGGTTTGGGTTTGGCCATGTCACCCAGTTAGGAGCATCTCCTGGTGAGTAGACATGGACCAGAGGCAGGACGTCTGGAGGTGACAGCTGGCGTTCATCCCAAGGGGGACTCTGAGGTTGGGGTTGTCAACTCCTTATCTGAGCTCACTGCTCACCTCCAGCACCAGACCCGGCTCAGCCAGTGTTTGATAAATGAGGTGGGTCATGGCCAAAAGGAGATGTGGGCCCTGTGGGGCTTGCTTATGGAGCATTAGCCCATGGAAGAAAGGGTGGATTTAATCAGAATCCTACAGACCCTATGCCTAAGGGACACATCCAAGTTTGCCTTCCCCAGTGGTCATTCATGTGCCACTTGTGACCCTGTACCCTGCGACCTTGGCCTTCTCCCAAGTAATATGTGTGATTTTTTGTGTTGTGCGTATCATCCGTTTTCTGGGGAAGAGTGTCCGTGGCTTTGCCAAATTCCTGGTGGCATCTGCAAGCACCCTCCACGGTGAACAGCAGGGACCAGCCTGGGTGGTCTTGCCCCACTGCAGGCCTCGCCCAGAGCCTCACACTACAGACGCGGCACCTCAGTGCTCTGCTGGAATAGAGTCCACCTGAAGGCAACTCAGAAGATGCCACCCAAAGACAAGCTGTTACCTGAGTGGGCGAGGAAGCGCGACAGCTCCTCCTAAAGCAGGCCTGATGCTGCCCAAACACCCGTTCAAAGGTAAAACTGCCATCTTGCTATCAAGGTAAGGGATTGCCAGACACCCCAGCATCTCAACCAGATACGGACGGGGTGCTCTCCTTGAAGAGAGAGCGTTACTTGGATCAGCTAAACAGATTCCATTGAATCCCATGTGTAACAGCATGCATAGACACAAGCTGGGTCAGCCTCCCAGAGGGCAGCAGCCCTGCCCTCCGAACCGTCCTTCTGTGGGAGTTTCCTGTTGATAATTGGACTGTGTGGACATTCCTGGGCGAGTGGTAGAAGTTTAATCGAGGCGTTTCTATGCGATCTAAAACAAAAGGCAGGAGTCCCGTAGCTGAAGGAATCCTCCCCAACACTTTGCAACATCGAAGGGCCAGCCTCTGGATTTTAAAGTTTAAAAAAGGATGGGTTTTTATTAAGCAGCCACATCTATTTTGTAACAGAAATGAATGTGACTACTTAAGAATCAAGTGAGGGAGACTTCCGGTAAGATGGCGGAATAGACAGACGCTGTGCCAACTGTCCCCCAGGATCACACCAAAATTACAAATAATTTATACAACATTCAACCTCAGAAGTCCCCTGAACACTAGATGAACAGAACCTCTAAAGGAAGGACTTAAAGAGGATGCCACGTCGAGTCTGGTAGGAGGGGTAGAGATGAGAGAGGCGAACCCCGCGAGGGACACCTCAGCGGTGGGGAGGCTTCTTCGGTTGGGGAACAGACCCTCCGGCCCCACACCGCGCTCACCAGCCCAGAGTTACGTTGCCGGGAAGAGGAGTTCTACGATAGCTGGAAGTAGAAAATAGTGAGGACTCTCTTTGCTCAACTCGGTGAGGCTGAGGGCAGCTGGAGAACCAGTGGAGCCGGCAAACCGACTCGCTCACTGGTGAGCACTCACCTGTCCCTGGTGGAGGGAATAGCTGTGTGAGCGGGGCCCAGGAGCCTCCAGGAAGGACTGAACTGAGCGCCTTTGGCACGGGAGCTGGAGGTTTTGGGACCATTGTTTCCGTGGTGTGGAGCTTGCACATGAGTAGTGCACAGGAAGGCGCCATTTTTTCAGGGCTGGGACCTCTCACAGAGGCTCAGGTCTGGGACTGCATTGGTCTGCTGGAATTGGCACAGGAGTGCCTGTGTGCGTGCACGCGCATGCGGCCTTGGATCCCCACCCTCCGCGCTGCTTGTGCTGCGTAGCCATGGAAAAGCCTGGCGGGTGCCCTTCAGCTCCCAACAGGCTGCTCCCTGAGACGCGGGAGTGCACAAGCCGCCTTGGGTCCCCGCTCTCCGCACTGCATGTGCAGAGTTGCCAGGCTGGCGATTGGCTGTCGGGCTGCTCGGCCTGATCTACAAGCGGCTGATTGGGACAGGCTGAGACTGGGAGATTTTCTGGGAGTGTTGGGCCAGGAGCTGTGTGCCTGAGTGATCCGGCCGGGGCTTTCCTGACGAGTTTGTGTGGGCTGGTTACCGGGGCAGGAGTGCATGCTGCTCTGACTTGGTGGGGGCCACTGACCACGTCCTGTGGTGCCTTGGGGGCCTGCCCCACCCACCTAGAGCTGTGTTGCTGGGGGCATCCTGAGCCCCCGGTACCTGGCCCCTACCTCCGCAGGCCACAGAGGGTTTTTTGCAGCAGCAGACATCCCGCAACAACCTGTGAGGATTTTTGGTGGTGAGCATGGTTCCAGAGCACACAGCAGCTAATTGTGGGAAGCTCACTGCAAGCCTGAGAGGGAGGCCGGCACATGACGCGTTGAGTCCTTCCTTCCAACAGCTGGTGCTGAGTTTCCCAGAGTCTCTCTATTGCTGAGCAACTGGTCTGCAGATTAAAGCAGGCGGAGAGCCCTTTTTTCTTTTTTCTTTTCTTTTTTTTCTAGGTGATCTATCTAATACATTGATGCAATCACAGAGTGACAGCCAGAATGAAGAAACAAAGAAACATGTCCCAAGTAAAAGATCAGAAGAAACCTCTAGAAATGGAACTAAATGAAACAGAGGTATCTAAGCTTTCAGAGACAGAGTTTAGAACACTAATGATAAGAATGTTTAAGGAACTTAGTGAGGACATAAAGAAGGACAGAGAAATCATAAAAAACAACCTGTTAGAACTAAAGAATACAATAACTGAAATGAAGAACACACTCAAAGGAATTACCAGTAAATTAGATGAAGCAGAGGATCGGATCAGCGATTTAGAAGACAAATTAGGGCCGGCCAAGCAGCTCAGTTGGTTAAGAGCTCGCTCAAGAGTTTGCGCTCTGAGCAACAGTGGTTCAATGCCCAGCCCGAGCTGAGCAGCCACTGAGCTGCCAACAGGTGGCAGGATGGCTCAGCTTAAAAGAAAAAAAAAGACAAATGAGCAGAAATCACCCAATTGGAACAACAAAAAGAAAAAAAGAAAAAACAATGAAAATAGTTTAAGAGACCTGTGGGACAACATCAAGCACAGCATTTGCATCATAGGAATACCAGAAGGAGAAGAGAAGAAGCAAGGGATCGAGAATGTATTTGAAGAAATAATGACTGAAAACTTCCCTGCCCTGGTGAAAGAAATCGACATACAAGCCCAGGAAGTGCAGAGAGTTCCAAACAAGCTGAACCCAAACAGATCCACAACAAGACACATCATAGTTAAAATGGCAAAGATTAAAGACAAACACAGAATCCTAAAAGTAGCAAGAGAAAGACAGCAGGTTACATACAAAGGAACTCCTATAAGACTAACAGCTGACTTTTCTACAGAAACTCTGCAGACCAGAAAAGAGTGGCAGGAAATATTCGAAGTGATGCAAAATAAAGGCCTATAGCCAATATTGCTCTACCCAGGATGGCTATCACTTAAAATTGAAGGAGAGATAAAGAGCTTCTCAGAAAAGAATAAGCTTAAGGAATTCATTACCACCAAGCCACCGTTGCAGAAAATGTTAAAAGAGCTTTTTTTAAACAGAAGGGGAAAACAAGCTAACCCAGGAAGACCAGAAATGCAAATAACAAAATGGCAATAAATATGCACCTATCAATAATCGCTTTAAATGTGAATAAGCTTGGGCCGGCCGAGTGGCTCAGTTGGTTAAGAGCTCGCTCAAGAGTTTGAGCTCTGAGCAACAGCAGTTTGAGTCCAGCCTGAGCTGAGCAGCCGCTGAGCTGCCAACAGGTAGCAGGATGGCTCAGCTAAATAAATAAATAAATAAATACATACATACATACATACATACATACATACATACATACATACATAAATGTGAATGAG